TTCATTGTCATCTAGATCTCTGTCACATATAATCTACAGGGTCTTTGATCTTTGTACCACCGGATATCATGTTGGTCCACTAAAGAGCTCATGGTGCTGATTGAACTTGGTATACCTTAAGTCCTACACACTGTAGATACTTTAGTAAGATACACTGAAGGAGAGTGTTGGAGTTAAATTTCCTCTGGGGTTTGTTGAGACATTTCCTCTCAAGTAAAAGGCAAGTTGCTTTGCATCCTCTATTGCTAAGAAAGATTCACTGGGTTTGTTGGGTCTCTATGCATTTTGGAGGAAACACAGACTGCATTTAGTTGTGTTACCCATTTGCAAAGTAACCCGTAAGATTTTCAGCTTTGAGAAGGACCCAGACTAAATGACAGACTTCTCAACTAGTTCATGTTGCCAACAAGCAGCTCTGCCTCTTGTCTTTTATGATCCAGAAAATCCAACAATCTTCAAATTATCTCTGGCAGATCAGGATGCTATTTAGAGACTGTGGCAATTCTAAGTCTTTGGAACAAAGTCATACCCTCTTTAGAAAATAACTACTTTTCTTTTGAGAAAAAGTTCCAGACTCCCTGAGCCCTGATAAAAACCGAACACTTGAGTCAAGGGATATTAGGGAAACATGTGACCTGAATTTCCTATCATGAACTGGGTGTCCTCTGATACAGAACATCATAAAGTGTTCAAAAACATGCCAATATTAAGTGGAAATGGATTATAGGAGTCCACCCTCTAGTAGGTCTTACCATCAAATTAGTTTGTGAAAGTAGGTGGTCCATCCTCTCAGTGCAACTATATCTACTGCCTTATCACTTTTTCCTCCTCTACAGTTATGGCATCTTGAAGAGTCCCTTATGACCACTTAACGTAAGAAGAAAAAAAAAAAAAGAAGAAGAAGCCTGGTTCCCAGAAGGCTCTGCATGACATGATGGTACTGGCCAGAAGTGGACTTCTACAGTGTTAAACACACTCAGCTGGTGGCAGGAGGTCTGGATAAGAAGTATATGGATGGACCCCTAAGCAAATATTTCTGTGTCCATGTGAATGCAAAGCAAAATACACCTACCAAAAGGAAGCTTTCAAAAATCTAGGTGAATATAGAATTGCAAGGGACCCAGAATAGCCAAAACCATCTTGAAAAAGAAAAAAAAAGTAGGAGGGCTCACACCCCCCAATTTCAAAATTTGCTACAAAGCAACAATAATCAAGACAGTGTGGGGGTGTCTGGGTGGCTCAGTCAGTTAAGTGTCTGCGTTCAGCTCAGGTCATGATCCTGGGGTCCTGGGATCAAGCCTAGCATCGGGCTCCCAGCTCAGCGGGAAGTCTCTCCCTCTCCCTCTGCCACTCCCCCTGACTTGTTCTCTCTCTCTCTCAAATGAATAGATAAAATCTTAAAAAAATTCCTTGGTACTGGAACAAGGAAAGACATATAGATCATTGGAATCAAACTGAAAATTTAGAAATAAACCCACAGGTCTATGATTAACTTACTTTCACCAAGAGCACCAAGATCATTCAAGGGTAAAAGAATAGCCTTTTCAACAAAATGACACTAGACAACTGGATAGCCATTTATGAAAGAATGAAGGTGGACCCTTACCTCACACCATACACAAAAATGAACTCAAAATGGATCAAAGACCTAAATGTAAGAGCTAAAACTATAAAACTCTTTTTAAGAAAACTTAAGATATACCTCCATAGCCTTAGATTTGGCAAAAAGATTTTTAGATATTACCAAAAGCATGTACAACAGGGAAAAAATAGTTCATCAAAATTAAAACATTTTGTGCTTCAAATCACTCCATCAAGAAAGTGAAAAGACAAACCACAGAATGGGAGAAAATATTTGAAAATCATATATCTGACTAAGGTCTGGTATCCATAATATATCAAGAACTCTTGGGGTCCCTGGGTGGCTCAGTCATTAAGTGTCTGCCTTCAGCTCAGGTCATGATCCCAGGGTCCTGAGATTGAGCCCCTCATCGGGCTCCCTGGGAGCCTGCTTCTCCCTCTCCCACTCCCCCTGCTTGTGTTCCCTCTCTCAGTGTGTCTCTCTCTCTCTGTCAAATAAATAAATAAAATCTTAAAAAAAAAGAACTCTTACAACTTAATAATAAAAAGCAAATAATCCAACTTAAAAATGGCAAAGGATCGAAATAGATTATCCTCCAAGAGAGATACACAAATGGCCAATAAACACATGAAAAGATACTCAACACCATTAATCATCAGGGAAATGCAAATCAAAACCACATGAGGGGGGTGCCAAGATGGCTCAGTCGGTTAAGTGTCTGCCTTTGGTTCAGGTCATGACACCGGAGTCCAGAGATCAAGCCCTACATTGTCCTCCCTGCTTAATGTGGAGTCTGCTTCTTTCTCTCTGCCTGCTCTTGTGTTCTCTCTCTCAAACAAAAACAAAAACAAAAAACAAAACCAAAACAACCCATGAGATATCACTTCATACTGACTAAGACAGCTATAATCAAAAAGTCAGGTAGGTATTGTTAAGGATGTGGAGAAATAGGAACACTCATACACTGCTGAAGGGAATATACAATGGTGCAGCTGCTTTGGAAAATAGTCTGGCAGTTCCTCAAATGATTAAACAGAGTTACCATGAGACCTAGGGATTTCACCTCTATGTATATACCTAAGAGAAATAAAAACATTTGTTTACACAAAACTTGTATGTGAATGTTTATAGGAGCACTATTTACAATAGCCAAAATGTAAAAACAAATTAAATGTCCATCAACTGAGGAATGGATAAACAAAATGTTATATATTCATGTACTGAAATATTATTCAGCCACAGAAAGAAGTACTGATACATGCTATGTGAATGAACCTTAAAATAACATTTTGCTAAGTGGAAGTGGCCAGTCACAAAAGACCACATATTACATGATTCCATTCATATGAAATGTCAAGAATGTTAGAGTTCCCTAACTCTATAGTTACAAGAAGTAGATTAGTGGTTGCCTGGGACTAAGGGGCTGGAGAAATGAGAGAGTAAGAGGCTGATAGCCAAGGGGTATGGTGTTTCTTTTTGAGGTAATGAAAATGTTCTAAAATTGGCTGTAGGTGAGGGTTGTAATATCTATTAATATACTAAAAACCACTGAATTGTACACATTATATAGGTAATTGAAAGGGGTGTCAATTATGTCTCAATAAAGTTGTTTAAAAAACTCTACAGGGAGGCAGTGAAAGCCTATTTCCCCAGTGTCTCATACTTATTCCTTAGGCTCATGAACAAAATGGCTGTGTGAAAGGGATGGAGACTATATATAGACTCAACAATATGGACTTCCTTTGGCCAAGGCTTGTGTGACACTACTGAGAGTCCAACTTCCCTGTGAGGAGAACCAATGCTGAACCCCTAGTATAGTTCACTGTATATAGTAGATTTTTTTAATCCCTTCTAACAGTGAGGAGATAAGACAGAGTGGACTGGACACTTTTCTGATGATAGATTTGTCTTCTCTGCTTCAAAGCTTTTATCAGCAGCCCCCCTGACCACCCTAGAGTGACTGTAGCGACGTCTTACTCATGAGCATAATATTCGACCATACATTGCTTATGAGAGAAGAACCAAGTTCATGTGGAAGAGGTGAAGTCAGTCTCATACCCACAAAAATATTTGGCCTTCCGATATATCCCATCACTTAGAAACCCTTGGTTTTATAGGAAGGTAAAGTGGCTAATTGAAAACACAGTTTGAGAGACAGGACCTTGTGAGGTGGCCTATGAACTGGTATATATATGCTCTAATCTTGTGACCGATATATGGTGCTATTTCTTTCATAGATGGCGTTCACTGGCCTAGGATATAAGAAGTATATAATCCTCACTATTAAACATGGTGAACGACTCATGAATGGTTTGTTTCCCATACACTTGGTTATAACAATGATTTCAAAGAATTGGAAGTTGAAGCTGCCTCCTGACTGGAGTTCTTCATGCCATTTAACCAACACGGAGAAAATGAGGTCCTTATGTGTTGTCTGGGGCAACTGGTTCCAAATATCAAGGGGAAGCAGAGTTGCTATATATACCACAGGACCAGGTAGAAGTATGCTTAGTATCCTCTGGGGTGCCTCTAGAGCTCTTCTATTCAATGATAAAAATTAATGTAAGGTTATGTTAAACGAATATAGGAAAGACCAAAAAGAACCCAACTCCATGAGAGTGAAGAGCTGAGGTACTGACCGGAAAGAAAGCAAACATTGAGTTAAATACTGAGAGAAGTTAGAGATATTAACGACCTTCATGACTAGTGGTGATTATGAGGACTGCAGTAAATATCCATATTTTTTTTCTTGCTTTGGTATGCGTGCCTTTATATATATATACACACATATATATGTATATACACACACACACATATATACATTAAACACTTTTCTTTTTCTCTTCCTCTTTTGTCTGGTTTTTTACATGGCAATGGTTTATTTTATAATTCACATTTTAGATTATATTATTCTAGGATTATGACTAAATTAGAAAAAATAATATGTCATTGAGAAATGAATATAAGAGCAAACTTCTGGTCTCCCATTTGGGTGGATGACAAAAAGTCTTAATTTCCTCAACAAAAAATCCTTCTGAAGTGTATCGTCCGGAACTTCACTCCCATGCTTAGGAAAGGAATAGAGCTTTAGGACTCCTTTTCCGCTGTCTGAAACTACTTTTCTTCCTAGGAGGTAGCAGTCTGGCAGCAGGCTAGATCGTGGGCTCTGCAGTCAGATGCAGCAGAATGTGAATCCTGACTTGGGGCGTGCAAGCCATGAGAACTGGCCAAGCACTGGAGCCTCGGTGCCTTGATTTCATGGGCTATAAAATAAGGATAGTAAAAGCCATCTTCTAGGGTTGTTCTGAGAATTAGGTCAAACGAGATGATTCTATAAAGCTCAGCAAAGCACAGGGCCTGGTTTGTGGGGCTACTCAGGGGCAGGAAGAGCAAATGTAAAGAAACTCCCTGAACTCACTTTCCCACCAGGGAGTGAAACGTTGCGTCATGGTCCAGCCCGAGTGGATCCCAGCCGAGGTGGTCCTCACCCGTCCATAGTAAGGTTCCTGTATATCTGATGTTTCGTTAGTAAGGTCGCAAAAGAATTCTAGAATACCCCAACAGTCTTCTTTATTTTTCCATTGTCTCTGTCCATACCTATAGAAGGGAAAAGGCAAAGATCTGAGGGTTGTTGTGTGTTTTTTTTTTTTCCCCATTGAAGGAGTCTTCCATTTTTACAGTCTATTAATTTTTTAGACTAGTTGGGATTTTTGTCCTCCAACATCAGTACCACTGTGAAAGCTTCCAGCTGCACTCATGTATCTTTTAAAAATTTTTTATTCTTGGGGCGCCTGGGTGGCTCAGTCCATTGTGTCTGCCTTCGGCTCAGGTCGTGATCCCAGGGTCCTGGGATCCAGTCCTGCATCGGGATCCCTGCTTAGCAGGAAACCTGTTTTTCCCTCTCCCTCTGCTGTTCCCCTGCTTGTGCTCGCTCTCTCTGTCAAATGAATAAATTTTTTAAAATCTTAAAAAAATTTTTTTTTAGTTTTATTCTTGTTAATCAAAGCGTTACCTTGCTGAAAGATAAACTCAAGCCTGACACCTTCTGTATCAGTAGCAAAAGGGTTTTGGGGTTTTTAATACTTAGTGAAGTTTTTCTTCTGGTATCTGAACCAACTTCCACTTTTGAGTACTAGCTTCCCACATCCTTAATGCTTCTGAGGTTTTAACCCTGTGGTTTTCTTCACTTCTCATCAGCCTGCTGTTGAGTAATGTGGCCGATTCTGAGAAGTTGCTACCACTTTTCATCTCAGGTATTGCTTACTCAACACATCTCGTCGATCTTTTGTTGAAAATGGAGCGGGGGTTGCATAAATTTTAATGTATAAATAAAGATGCATAAACTTTACGGTTGCTATACAAAATATGTAGAGAAAAGCAGCAGGAGTTAAAGACTGAAAAACTTCTGGAAATAGTTCTTGTGACATTAACAAGAGGTTAATAAATGGGCAAATCTGACCTTGAACCTACCCTTGTGCTAGAGAGACAGGGATGAGGGTATGGAATAAGAATTGCTATTTTGGTCCACAGCTACAACTGATTTTCTGAATTTCGAATGAAAAATCGTGAACGTGAAACTATACTATCTCTGTCTCAGTCAGTATCTCTCAGCCAGCATCTCAAAATGTGGAAGAGAAGGAGGAGCCTCAAAAAACCTCCAGAAATGTGTGAGTGGGAAAACCCGCCATTTGCAAATCAGGGGTTTCTGTTTCCAGGCCTCGATCCAGGAAAGGAATTGCTTACATCTGAATTTGGCAGTGATCCACCAGAAGCAGCCCGAGGAGCATGCTGCAGCACGGTACAGGCGCCATTTGTTTTTGAAAAGAATTTTCTAAGTTTTCAAAATTGACTTCTGGATTAAAATATATTTTGTACGCTCATCTCCATGTGTCCCAGAGCTGCTTCTTCAGCTGTCAATAACGTCAGCTTGGTTGAGTACCTAGTATGTGCTAACCAATTTGCTTCCAACATTCACTAGATAAATATGTAGAGAGCCCACCGTGTGCCAGGCTCCATTGTGAAGCCAGAGGCTCAGCTGGTAAGGTCTCGGCGCTGGGTCTCTGAGGGATGAAGCGTCTCCCCAACAGAATGCACATCATCGTGCATTTTGTGTCCCCAGGAAGCCTTCAAGGAGACAAGGCACTCCTGTCCCTGCCTCTGCTTCTTCTTAAACCCTCTGAAACTGAAAAAAGATCCTAACACTCCACTGCATTCTAGAGCATGTAATTCCAGGGGCCATCTCGGTCAGCTGGAGGAAGCTCAAATTACTTACGTTTTATACTGCACAAAATAGATACTGCTGTTGCTGGTGCAAGCCCTCCCAGGCTGCCAGTGCAAAATGTTGTGAAAATTTCGAGACTGGAAATGTACTCTCTGGGGTTTCAGACACTCGTGGGCTGACTGAGTTTCTAAAATAAAAAGAGACGGAAAAACTTTGAACATGAACACGGGCACCATTGTTCTTAGCAATACTTTGCAGTGTGATGCTTGCAGAAGGTGTTCCTAAAGTAGTTGCTAGAAGTGCAGTTGGGAGAGGTGGAGCCAGAAGTCAACATTTTGAATCTTGAATGTGAGGATTTTTATGCACGCTCAAGTTGCAGAACAACCGTGTTCCCGGCCAAAAAAAAAAAAAAAAAAAAAAAGGTGGTAATAGCCTCCCACCCTATTCACAAGCTCTAGAGGGAATAAATAGCAGTGAAAAATTAGTGTCCTCTGTCCCTTCCGTGATGGTGATGGAATGTAATGACCAAGATGAAAAGCCCACACCAAGGCCACTCACCCACTTTCCTAGGAGCCATTATATGACTGCTACACAGAGGCAAAATTCTGCCTGGGATCCATTTTTGTTCCAGGCCCTCAGCCCAGCACTCGGTTTCTCCTTTCTCAGGATCTTGCTCAACTGCTGGGTCTTGCCTTACTGGCCCCTAACCTCTCCCAGCTGACCTGGCTTTATTCCAGGTGATCAGCCCTTGTTGCCCGGGTCCTGAATGGCTGCACTTACCAGCTTGCATCCTGGCTCCAAGAACTCAAGCATAATTGCTGAGATGAACCCGTCCATGCTATCAGGGGAGACCGTCCAAGGCCCTGTTGTGGGGCCCACTGTTCCTGAAAAGAATCTTGAGTCTAATGGCAGCAGGAGAGGGTAAGTGTGTACTGTCAGTGGCTTATGCTTCGTTCCTTCATTCACTGAGTGGGTGATCAGTCTCACCTGCATTCAGTCCCGTGGCGGCAAGAGACTCTGACAAAATTGTATTCTAGAATCTGAAGGAAACTAGACCATGTCACTCTAAAATAGGCCTCTTAGACATTTAAAAAAAATATATTATGAGCTGAAGGCAATGAAGAAGCAACAAACACAGGAGAAGTCTCGATACCCTCCCCCTTTTCTGCCTAAAGGCAAGATATAAATTCTCCTTTTATTGGAGACAGACTTCTCGGCCCAGGAGGATGCCAGAGGAGTCTGCCAACAAACCTTCCATTAGTTTCCTCCCGTATATTGACCTTACCACAGTTTGCCACCCTCAGAAGCCTAAACCTGCCTTCCTGTGTCCCATCAGGTCTGTGTGAATGTATCGCTCTTTGTTGAAGATGCCAGATGAGCTGGAATACTAAACCGCCATCTGAGTCACTCTTCGCTTATGTTCCTCCCTCTTGATACGTGCTGCACGTGTTAATGAATGATTTGTTTTTCTCTCGTTAATCTGCCTTTTTGTTAACTTAGGCTGAAAGCCTAAGATGGGGCAGAGGTGAAGTTTTCCTCACCAACAAGTGTGACCTTTCCGATCAGGGATAGGAAGTTGGGCAGAAGGAGAGGGCATCAGGAAACAACCTCGTCTTTTCCCCTGACTTCATCTCCTACCAGACGCCCCCTTCTCCAGGATGCTCTCCTGTCTCCTGCCCCACCGTGCTGGGTGTGCTCCCGCCGGGTGTGTCCCTGCACTGGCCCTGCTCCACCCTGGAACTCTGCACGCCTCCTTTCTTCACCTCCTTTAAACCTTTGCTCAAAAAATTATTGAGATGCAAGAATGTACTTCTGAGCCCACGATCTCAGCTCTGAACATTCAAGATTTGTTATGGTCTAATGAAGGGGGCTGGTTGGTTTTTGTTTGCTTTTATTTTTATTTTTTGGAACTCCTTCAGTGTGTCAAATGGTGGTGTGTCCTTGGAAAGAGCCTACCGCCGCCATTGATTTAGCTCAGCCAAATCACGACCAGATCAGTCCTTGTAATACAGAAAAATTCCAGAAGTGTCAGGACGTGAGGAACACTATCTCCTGGATCCTGCGCCTAGAGTTGGTTTGCCACCCCTGAAGATAGTCAGTTCAATGTCCTTTAGCACCTCTGTCTCTGGATTTCTTGTCTCACTTTTGTACCATCACTGCTGCTCCCTCCGACAATAAGACCAAATCACTGTGTACCAGGTGCTGAGGGCCTGTACCTGCCTTAACTCAATCTGCCCAGCTGTTCGACAAAAAGGGGACTATTGCAGTCTCCCTCTTCCAGACAAAATTGCTGACGCTGATTTTGTACCCAGGCATCTGACTGCAGAGCCTGCCTGTCACCCACCACAGAAACCAAGAGCAAAGCCTCAGAGAGGGGAGCTAACGGTGCGGAAAAACAATGAGGGGTGAGGATATTCTTTCTCCCCCTCTTTCCCTCCTCCTCCTTCTGTGGCATTCACCGACCACTGAACACATAGGAACATTAGACAAGTATCAGGCACTGTGCTGAAAGCCTTACGTCTTATCCCATATTCACAACCACTGAATAAGGTAGCACGTTTTACAGATGGGGAAGTTGAGGCTTAAGGACATTGTGGTTCTTGCCCCCAGTTACAGGCCCGGTAACATGTAGAGCCCCGAATCATTTTGACAGCACTAGTTTCCCGCCATAGTTTGCTAAACGAGTCCTTTCTATTGCCAAGGACAAAAAGTATAGTCTACTCAAATCCATACATTTCTGAACAATGAGGGCTTGAATTGCTTTTATGTTATCAGTCCCTGAGCAACTGTATTGTCTTGGGAACATTACTTGAGTCATTTACACTGAGAGGTACCTATCTTTAATGGGGGGGGGTGTTAATGGCTTTGATCAGAGATATCTTGGGGTGACAAGTTGTTCTCTGCTCTTAAAAAGTTCTCTGTGAAGACCAACAGCAAATTCTCACATGCAGTTTATGGTCTCTATTCTGTCAGGCACTGCTCTAAGCACTTGAGTATATATTAACTCGTGTGATCCTCACAGTGACTTACGATCCCCATCCTACAGATGAGGAAATTAAGGCACAGCGGGGGTAAAGTCAATTGCCCAAGGTTTCCTAGATGGTAAATGGCAGAGTTGGGATCCAGACTCAGGTCGTCTGGCTGAGGAGCCTGCTCATAACCACTATGCTATAGTGTCCCTTGAAGGCAAAAGAAGTATGAAGTTTCTTAAGTGTCTCCTCTTTAGTAGCTACATATTAAGTCCACCTGGAGTTACGCAGGCTGCAGAGAGAGACTGACCCCATGTCTGTTCTGACCATTTCATGTCAGAAGAAAGCTGACAATTGGACAAAGCCAAGAAAAGCACTAGAGCCATTTCCAACAGTCCCTTGAGCAGACTCAGATGACAAAGTCGTGAGCAATTAAAAAGAAGTGAAGCACTTACCTATGACACCAGTCGGGAAGAAACTGATGAGGAAGCCTAGAAAGCAATGTTTAGGCGTCATGGTTGGAGCACGACCAGTCAGACAACCAGTGGTCCCCTCACTGAGAGCACAGCTCTGGACAGAAGAGGAAACTGGAGAATTCTCATGCTGGACATCCCCTCGTGGGTTTAACCATGGTTCCTTGAAGCCACTACAATTTCACTTTGTCAAGACACTATGTTGTTTATTATTTTAGGGTTATTATAAAAGTATAGAAATCACTTAAGAAAATATTTGCCATAAGTCACTTCAATGTGGAAGCTTGTTTTTGTTGGGACTGGGACTTTGTCAGCTCTGAAAAGGCAAAACACTGAGGATTGGCAGACTGCAGGGCAGGGTAGGGCAGGAATTGTGCAAGGTACTTGAAGGTGGGGGAATCCAGCAGCTCGTGAGGCCCTCAGGGAATCTAGCCCTGGGAGGCAGAGGTGCTGCCAGCCACATGCTGGTGGCTGGCAGGGTGATTCTGAGAAATGTTCTTGGCAGTTACAGCTACCCGGGCTCCCGATCGTGGTTCAAGCTGGTGGGGTCTCTGGTTGATTCTTCCTTTTCCTCCCTTCTTGGAAGCTCTCTAACTTCCTGGGTATATCTCAGACCCTCTACACCCTCTGGCTCTCCACAGGGCTTCCCTGCCCCATGCATCTGTCTTCCCAGTCCATGGCGGCCCCGGGGCCCCACTCAACCAATGCTCTTCCTTTTCCATTCCCACCCTCTGTTTCCAGCCATCTGAGGAAGATTCGGAACTGTGAAACTACATGAGTCCTTAAAAGGTTGAATGTGGAGGACAATCATTTTGACATACATTCTATCTTTTTCATATCTTCTTTGAAATCTGATCGAACTAGGTCATCTGTTCTTTGCCTATGATTCATTATATTTATTTTTCTTACCATTTTTCTAACTGCATGTTTGTAGAGGCACTAAAATTGTACATTAAAGCCCAAGAAGAAAGTCATAATTTTTTCAAGTGAGGATTTTTAGGTCAAAAGAGGAAATACCTCTGTAGTCTCTTTTAAGTCCTTGGTAGAGTAGCCTCTGTAGTAAGTACTAGGGAGGGCCGTGAAGGAGTTCTCATTCATTCCTTCCCTCAGTAACAAGGAACAGACATTTGCTGCCTGATTAGTCTCAGCAGCAAGGGTGCAGCAGCGATTAAGATAGACATTGCCCCTGCCTTCCAAAGCCTACTTGTAAAGGAGAGTAGACATAACTGCCAGAGCACTATAGAGGGGTTTGTGAAGATAACGCCAGGCTTTCCAGTGCCTCCATGCTGTGTCCAACTTCAGAACCAGACCCCTCATCTCCTCCAGGTGGGATTTCCATTGCTCAGAAGAGAACGAAGGCTTTCAAGGAAGAAACATGCAACAGATCTTAGGCTCCCTTTGTACCCTCTGGTGCTCCTTGTTTTCTAGATGTCTCAGCAACACCTACTTACTCACTGACTTTACCCAGTGAGCTCTAGACTTTGCATTCACCTTGTTTTTTTTTTTTTTTTTTTTTTTTTTTTTAAGTAGACTCCATGCCCAGCATGGAGCCCGATGTGAAGCTTGAACTCACGACCCTGAGATCAAAACCTGAGCTGAGATCAAGAGTCGGACACCCAATCGACTGAGCCACCTAGGAGCTCCACATTAACCTTGGCTTTTAAGTGGGGGCAGGGGGGTGATAACCTGTGTTTGAACTACTGATGTTCCATATCTTCTGCACAAATAGCTCTTATTTCAAAGCAACCCAATTACCCCAAATTCCAGTTAAGAAAAAAGGAAAAATACTTTAATTCAAGGTTTAATAAATAGTGCGGCCAACAGTAAGATCAGGGTTTCCACTGGGTTACTGACTTTTGTAGAACGAATAAGGGACAATTAGAGGGGAAGGGAGAGGATCACAGAATATACTAAGAACTGAATTCTCTCAAAGACATGTGAACTTTTGTGCTATGTTAAATTGCAGAAACCAAACCAGTCCTATAACCATTCAATGAGCTCTCTGGTTGTGTGATATAATCTGCCTAAAAGCCAATTCTGCCACGATGTCTCAGGTAGATGAGAAGGTAAAATTAAATCCTAAAATCCTCCCAATTTGGAAGCAGAAGAATTTGAACAGAATTATTTCCAGTGAAAATACATTTGCTTTGGGAGGAAGAAAATGACAGATAACTGGAGATGTCTGCTCTACTTTGCTTCAAGCATGAAATGCTGGCTTCCAACTCATTACCCACCTTCCTCCCCTGCCCTCCCCCCTCTAATTCATCAGCAGGAAGAGTCCACCTTGATAGTGACAGGGGTGCCTCCATCGTGTTGGGTCTGGAGAGAACTTGCCTAAGCCCCTGCCTTGGACAGACCTGATTCTCTTCTTTTTCCCTGTGGCTTCCTGGAGACCAACAATTCACCTAATTAAGAAATCATTATTAATTATTTTTAAGTGTGATATGGGATTTTGGTTATCATTATTATTATTGTTAGAAATACATATTGAAGTATTACAGATAACATGACACGATGTCTGGGATTTGCTTCAAAATAATCCAAAGGGTCAGGAAGAGGGTGACCAGCCGGTCACAAGCTGATAATTATTGAAACTGGGTATTGGGTACAGGGATACTCATTATACTTTCTACTTTTATATATATTTGAGCTTCTTCATAACAAAAGGAAAAGGAATTTAAAAGCTTATCTACAAGATGACATCTTTATAAAACTTATTTTGGTAATTTAAATGCCATTTTAGTGTTGGTAACGGGAACTAACAACTATGTGTTAAATCCTTTTTATGTGTTATTTTAGTTAATCCTCAGGACAAGCCCAGGAGGTCAGTATTATTATCCTGATATTACAGATGAAGAAAACGAGACATAAGCTCAAAGAACCTAACCAGCTCTACAGCATGTAGTGACAAAGCAAGGGGTGAAGTCAGGTCTGGCTGAACTAAGGGGTCTATTATAAAATCACTATGTGTTATTCTTCACTTGTAATATTTATTCCATAAAGGGATAGAACAATGTCAATTAAGACTTGGCCATTCATTCCTTTAATTGTTGATTCACTCAAATGAATGTTTACTGAGCATGTGCTGTATCCCCGGGCACTGTGTTAGGGATGCAGTGATGAACTAGAGGGCAGAGCCGGTCCTGATCGGGCCAGCTTCCTTTTCTTCAGCCACGTCTTGGTAGTGAAGGGCCACATGTTCCTTATTCTCTTTCAGAAAAGTGTTTAAAAACTGCCTCATTGGAGTGTATCTAAGATGGACTGGGTTTCCGCTCCAGGTTCTTTCCCTCATTCTATGATTTGGTAAATGGGAGGCCTCGTTCTAAAGTTAATTTAACAGAGCACAATGATAACTTGAAATCCACTCTTCTCCTCCTCAGACCTAGAGAGAACCATATACTTGTAGTACCAATAACTGGGAAACTATTTGTTCTTTGTTATGCTCCAGGCCCTCAATAACTCTGAATAATACTCATGACCTTTAAGCAGTTCTGCATTCTGGAAATAACTGGCATGCATTTCAAAATAGTTTATGGACTTGAATCCAGAAAAAAAAAAAAAGAACTTCATTGTTCAAATACATGCAATAAACACAATGACCAATCTGATCAAGTTTAGTTTTGATTAATTTTTGGACCATGAACACTAATACATTATTTAAAATCTCCATTCATAAGACTGAGGGCGTCCTTAGGGTAACTTTCCGCTCTTCATGCCTATTGTTCTGGTTAAAAGATGTTATTGATTTTGCTTTGACTGTTCTTGACCAAGGTCTTTTACTGACCCTGAAAACCCTATTGGATATAACCAATCATTATGCCCATCCACTAGCATATGCCTGGACATTGTTTCAACTCTGGAAAGATTTCCATGGCATAACCAGAATCCACCCAGTTGTCACGCCCTCCACTGCAACCACTCGGGTCCCCACCACTACTATCTGTTCCCCGGGCTGTGGCCGTAGCCTCCTGTCCATTCTCCCTACTGCTGCCTCTGTCCTCTGCATCAGCAGGAGTGTTTCTTCAAAATGTTCGATCAGAGCCTTTGCTCAGAGCCTTCTAATACCTTCACATCTCTTTCAAAATAAAAGTCCATATTTTTCTACTCACCTACAAGGCTGTGGACCGTCTGGCCCCATTACCTCTAACTTCACCTCTTCCACTTCTCCTAACCCACAGTGCTCCGGCCCTAATGGCCTTTTTGCTGTTTCTCGGGCATGCCAGGCTCATCCCCATGCTAAGATCTTTGACTCCCTGTCCCCTCTGCTTGCATACTCTTTCTGAGATGCCGAGCCTCACCAGTCACCCCCTTTATGTGTCTACTCAAATATTACCTTACCAGTGACTTCTTCCATGGCCACCCAGCATGGCTGCACTTCTCCCCGCTGCCATCTGGCCGCATCTCCTTTGTCCGCTTAATTTTTCTGCATAACATCTATCATCATTTGATAGCCTGTTTATTTTATTCTTGCTGTCTATCTTCCCCGCTAGAATAGAAACTCCAGGAGTGACCTCCTGACATTGTAAGCGTTGTTCACTGTTCCACTATGGACAGTGCTGGGCACGTAGTAAGCACTTGCAGCATAGCTAGGGAATCAATGAAAAGGGAATGTATTTTAGCACCTGGCCGGAATTTACAAGATTTAAGCCACAAGAACATGAAGATGCTTCTCTGCTTCTTATGGTCTGGGGTGCGAGTCCTGATGAGACGGGCCTGAGATTGTCAGATCTGCAAGGTCACTGTGGTTCCTTCAGACACACACAGACAACTAGGGCTTTGCAACACCATGTGGCACCTCTACCAACTCTCCAGCCAGACCAGTAATCTGTGTGACCTGGGATGTAGCTGCTTCTTGACGGTTGCAGAGATTTCCCTGATCAATCATCTGGGTGCTTCTCTGGGTGGGAAATGGGGTACATGCTGGGGGGGTTGCATTTCTTTGGCAATTTTCTAATTTGAATTCTCCTGATTAGTCCGTTCAGATGTTCTCTTTTAGATTCAGTTTCTACAAATTGTATTTTCTTTAGAAGAATGTCCATTTCATTCATGCTTTTAAATTTATTTGCAGTTATGCAAATTATTTCCTAATGATATCCATATTCGACTTCCCTTGTTTCTGTGATTTCTCTTTTATAATTTCCTATTTTGAGTGGTGATATTTTCTCCCTTCTCTAAAATTTTATTCTTAGTTAAGTCAGCTAGTTATTTATCTTCAAAATTTTTTCAAGGAACCAGATTTTGTAATTAGTTGTACCTCCTACTTTTTAAAAAGATTTCATGTTTCATTCATATCTCCTTTTGCCTTTTAAAATTCCTTCCTACTGTCTTCTATTTCATTTGTTGTTTATTTTTATAAGAACTCTGGGAATCAGATGTTTATTTGTTTTATTCCTTTTTTTTGAAAGACCCAAAAACTTTAATAACAAAAACCCTAACATTTGAATAGGGTTATGAAGGTTTCAGTGGACATTTATGCACATGATCACTTTTTCTGCTTTAAAAAAATTTTTATTATTTAAGTACAATTATATTTGTTTCATTCTTTATTTTATATCAATACAAGTAATTTACAGTAGAAATTTACTCTGAAATATATCCCAGGGGCTCTGTCTTTTGCTCTGAAGTGGAATATTTTCCTTATTTTTTTCTTTAACAATTCTCAATTTAGATCACTTTTCCTGACCCATGGATAAAACTTTTTAATTTTAATTCTCATTGTTTTTTCATGATTTCCAGAGAAGAAGATGCTGACTTATGCAACTATGTGCAGCTGGAAATCCCCTTTTATTGCTTTGCTTTCTGGCAATTGAAGGACAGAAGGATGGATTAGTATTCATTTGTGATTCATGAACAAAGATAAAATATGGCCACACAACTGTTTAGGTGTAATATCCATTCGACAAGATGTACACTGAGCTCCTAAACAACATTTAGAAACCCTCATGAACCTCAGAGTAAGGAAAGTACTTTTTGCATTTTAAAGTAATGAATTCTTGTCTTATTTTACTGTAGCATTGTGAGTAACCACCATAAATAACTTATTAGTATTAGAGTGTATTTCCAGCTTTACCTAAGGCTATTTCTGGAGGGAGCTGCCTGGTTATCAAAGTTAAAGCATGACTTATATTCAAAAACAACCGGGAAGAGCCTGCACTTTGGAAACAGATAAAGCTTGAGTTCGAATCCCTCAAAATAGATCTGTCTCAGCTTCATCCACTTGCCATGGGTTTCCCATCCTGGTATTCAAAGGCCCGGTTCTTATCCCCCCAAATGCCCAGGCAAACCTAGAGCACAGACTAAGTTCATTTGATTTCTGGGACCTCTGGATTCTTTACCTGAACCCATTTAAACATCCCATATTCAAAAGGTACACACTTCAAGGTTATAGATAAGGGAGTGTCACGTACCGCACGGTGACTAGCGTTAATGATACTGTACTGTACAACTGAAAGTTGCTTAAGAACTCTTAAAAGTTCTCATGACAAGAAAAAAAAATTTCTAACTATGTGTGGTGAGGAATGTCAACTAGACTTACTGTGGTGATTATTATATAATATGGACAAACACCGAATCATTCTGTTGCATACCTGAAACTAACATAATGTTATATGTCAGTTTCATGTCAATGTTCTAAAATCCCATATTCCCCAAGGTGGGGGCCCCACCTTAATACTGCAGAGGGCGCTTACCTTCTTCCCACCCGTGTCCTTCTGTCAGCCAAACACAATTCCAGCAGAGGTTCCTGGGCGAGGCTGCAAGATCCAGAGTCCCATGTCACAGCTCTTGGCTGACTCTTTAGCCTCTCAGGTGCACCTTTTCCCAGGCTCTGTGGCTCCCCATGGCCCCAGCCCTGCCATCCTCCATGTTTTATGTACATTCTGAGTTCCTACTATGTTGTATTCTCAAGATATATGCCTTTGGTTTCTAGTTTACAAAAAACAAAACAAAACAAAAAACCACTTTCCTGTGCCCTTGTTTCCTCACTTGGAAAAAAATGTGTAATACCTGCCTCACCAGATAGCGAGGAGGGTCAGTAAGAGAAATTTGCCAAACATCTGCCCGTAGCGGAGCCATGATAAATATCAGTCCTCCTTCCAGGCTTGGTGAGTTGGGACAGGTGCCATAATGTTCCCCAAACTGTCAAGCAGGAGTCAAGCAGGAATCCTGCTGTGTGGAGAGAGAGGAAATCTGCATGCCACAGGTCCGGAGAGGGAGGGAGTCAGGTCGGTTTCCATGCTGGCCCTACCTGAGCACTATGGAAATGATGGGAACAAACAGTTCTATAAATGGCATAACACGGGTAGATCATTGACGTAAAACCAATTCACTGCATTTGGCAAACTGTTACAGGACAGGGAGGTTAACACCCTTCAAAATCAAAGAGCTGGGTTTGGGGGTTCTTTGCAACTTATCTAATTTTTATCATCCGACTATAATCCCACACCTTTATTCCATTTATTCCATATATTTGGTTGAGTCAGTTCTGGTTTGCAAGAATTTCTGCAATTCTGTACAAGTTTTCAAATTTCTGGAGTGTCAATAACAGACATACTCTTCCTCTACACACACACACACAGACACACACACACACACACACACACACACACGGTTGCAAAAAGAACAACACTGATTTGGGCATGATGATAAGCCAGATAGGAGTGGCTGCATAGAAAATTAGACAATTCTGCGAGTCAACAAATATTGACTCGCACACATTGACTCGCAAACATTGACAGAGCACATGTGCTCTGTGTCAGGCACGGTCTTAAATTCTGGAACTATATGGTGGGTTAGGCAAGTTCTGGTGCACATAGAGCTGACATTCTAGAAAGTGTGTGTGTGGGAGGCAGACAGCGAATAGGCACACGACTATTCCGTCAGTGGCGATCAGTGCTGTGGAGACCAAGCAGGGTGCGGGGAGCAAGACTGCCGGGCAGATGCCGCTGCACAGAGTGGGGGAGGGAAGGCCACGCTGACCAGGTGCTGTGTAAACAGAGGTCTGAGCTGGGGGAGGCAGGCAGACAGGCAGACAGGGGGGAAGCACAATTTGAGAGAGGGACAACAAAGTCCAGAGGAAAGAGCGAGAGGCCATGTGGTTGGAGGGGAAGGAGCAAGGGCCAGAGTATTGGCAATGAGATCAGGAGCACCCAGTGATTGGGGCAAAAGGCCTTGGGAGCCATGGCAAGGATTCTGGATGCTTTCTGAGAGAAGGGGAAGCCACTGGAAGGTTTCAAGCACAGAACTTGAAATGAGACTAATAATAAAATGTCCGATGCTGAAGTAGTGGATTGGGAACATAAGATGGGGGGAGCTCTGATGCCCCTATTCTGGTTGTTCCTTGTCTGCGTCAGTGCAACACAAAGCCATTTATCTTTTGCCTCGAAGTGGCAACACTTCCTGGGGAGAGTCCTGGTTCTGCTTGATGGCACTGCTCCGCTATGAGGATGAGAGGACATTTTGAAATGGGAAGGAAGCTGAATTAAAATACTATCCTTATGCACGTTAAAATACGGAAAAAAATAATAAAATTTGTAGCTCAGGATCCTACGTTCATTGTTTCTTAGGTTTGGTAGTTTCTTCCCAACTAGCTCTCCCCTGCACCCACCACCCAATTTATGCTTAAATGTCACTTACTCAAGAGGCTGATCCCCAGTCTCAGCTAGGTCCCCTTGTTATGCTGCGGCTGCACCCTGGGCTTTTGTTTGTAATTGACAATGTGATGATTTGTTGGTTCCTTCCCACACTTGATCCATCTTTGAGATTTGAACTTAGAGCGCCCTTCTCCAGCCATAATTTCTAGCTCAGGGCGGGTTAGTGTCAGGGACACCTGTTGCTCAGGCCCACGCACTTCACCCCGCCCACTGTGGGTACCAGGCCACCATTCTCGGTCTTCTCCAGCAGGAGAGAAGGGCCATTCAACCCTCTCCTCGGTTGGTGCTCTAGATCCCTCCGTCTCCTTCCCGGAGCCTCTAGGCTGGCAATCCCATTCTCACTCTCCTTATTCTGAAAAAGTGGCTTTGTGTGGGGTAGCTACGTGACAGGCTCCTTTTCCTCTTCAAGCCTTCGTCCCTTCACTTAGGAATGCAGGGAACATGGGATTTTAGCAATGAGGCCGCCCAAGAGAAGCACTCAGCAGGGTGCCGGGCACACAGTGAGGACTCAATCTCAGTGGTTCCTAGGTTACAGAGGTTTCTGAAGAATCTGAAACATCCCCTAAACTGAAGCGTTAATCTTTGATGGGAGACTCAACGCAAGCCGGCCACCCTTTTGCCATCTCTTTGGCACACGTAAGTTATCGGATGTCTGTTTCTGGCTTTCTTTTCCCCTAGCTGCTTAATTCCTCCTCACCCCTTTGGTTTTTAACGAGCGTTCCTTTATCGCCTCTTAACACAGCTGAAGCATCCCGCGAAACATTCCCTACTCTAAGATCTCTCTACCACCACACTTGCCAACAACCACTAGCAGGCAGAGATTTCCTGGAAAAAGCCCGGGAGGCAGAATCTTTATCCCACTGGTCACCAGGCAAGTCACTACCCGTGCTGTCATGCTTTCTCGTCTTCAATGGGGACAGCAATTCCTCCTCACAGGGTGCTGCAAAATGAAATGAGGTGGGGTATTTTTACAAGCAGTTCAATAATTATACATTTGTTCTTTTGTTCATTCATTCCTCCCTTCATTCTTGATTAGCAGCTCTAGTTAGAAAGCAGCCAACAGTCTGACTCCAGAATCTAGAGGCAGAAAAGGAGCAAATGCAGAGCAAGTATCTCACCTCGTAACTGAAACTATCCATCACCCTATAAAACTGGAATTTTTGATCTAAGTCACCCTTCCATATTCTTGGGTATAAAAACCAGTATCTTAATGTGACACAGCCAGTGGTCTTAGACACACTTCAAGTTGGCATGAAATGATGCAATGACTGTTGGGTGACTCGTAATAATTCAGGAGAAAAATTAATTTAAGCAGAACTGTGTCAAGAAGAGGATTCCCCTTACCAGTTAATACAAGTGCAAACTTACTCTTGGAGACAAAAGATGGAGAGAATTTAATTCAACTCCCACGAGGCTAAGTGATTTACTCACAGTCACCAGCTTTTGACCTAAAATTTAGTAGGTATATTGCTCTACGGAAATAGACCATACCAACTCATCAAAGTTTGAAGACAAGGAAATAAAATATGAAGAATAATATTAGCAGCAAGGCATGATTATCCCTATTTATAGATGATACAGTGGTATACTGGCACAACCAATCAACTGAAAACTCAAAAAGTTTGGATGTTGGCTGTATCAAAAATAATCTGTAACAATAGGTTTTTGTTTTTGCTTTTTACAAATAGCCAGTTAGAAACTGTAACATCAAATACCAAGGAATAAATTTAGTAAGAAATACCCTACCCCCTGAAGAATAACACTCTCATGAGGAATATAAGACTTGAATAGAGACATAGTCCCCATTCTTGCAGAAGAACATTCAACTTCGTAAAACATAAGGTATTCCTGAACATTGTATACAGGGCAAATGCAATGCCAATACAACTCCCAAAAGACTTCAAAACTTGGGGAGAAACTAGGTGAACATTCTTAGAGTTCACCACAAAGAACAATTGTTGAGGAGAAACATGAGCAATAAGCATTGACCTAAAGTATTAAGGAGGGCCTCAAAAGTTAAAATATGCCAGTATAAAGCTCTAATGATTAAAATAGTAGGATGCAGGGCCACCTAGCTGGCCCAGTCGGTAGAGCGTGCAACTATTGATTTAGGATTCTAAGTTTGAGCCCCATGTTGGGTGTAGAGATTACTTAAAGATAAAATCTTTAAAAAAAAAAAAAAGAAAGGAATAAAGAAAGATAGGTAGATAGATAAATAAATAATAGGATATAAATACAAGAAAAGACAGAACAATGGAAGTTCCAGAAGCACTGAGAATTTGGCATATGATACACGTGATATTTGAAATCAGCACAGAACTTAGATGATTTAGTAGTATTGGGATGGCTAATTTATCAAGGAAAATATGAGTTGAATTGTGTCCTCCAAGAAGATATAAAGTCCTAACCCCTGGTGCCTATGAATGTGATCTTCTTTGGAAATAGGTCTTTGCAGATCCAATCAAATTAAGATGAAGTCATACTGAATTAGAGTGGGCTCCAATCCAATGACCAGTGTCTTTATAGAGACAAAGATTTGGACACAGAGACACACAGGATAGAATGCCATGTGACAAGAGGCAGCGGCTGGAATGACACAGCTAAAATTCAAGGAAAGCTGAGGGTTGTCAGTTACCCCCAGAGGCTAGGAATAGGCAAGGAAGGATCCCTCTAGAGCTTTCCAATATAATCTAGCCCTGCCTCTGAATGGTGAGGGTGTACACTTCCATCGTTTTAAGCCACTCAAGTTCGTGGTAATTTATTATGGCAGCTCTAGAAACCAAAATAATAATAAAGCTGGATCCCTACCTTAATGCTTATACAAAAAGAAAAAATCTAGAGGGATAGAAGAATTAAATGTAGAAATGAAATAAACAATGACCCCCAAATAACACAAGAAAATGTGGGTAGAAGTTTGTATCTTCTAGGGAGTTTCCTTAAAATGGAAGGAAAAGATGGAAAAATTTGACTTTATAAACATTAAAAAACAAACAGAAAATAACATTTTAAGCATCTGCAGGTAAGAGATAAGAAATTATAAAATAAATGTGTAACTCACGGCAGACAAACGAAAGTCAATAAAAAAAAAAATAAACAGCGCCCAAAGAAATGCACAAAGGACAAGATTAGGGAACCACTTAAATATAAATACCTAATATATAAAACATGCTCAACTTCACTAATTTTTAAAGAAATGCAAACATAAGTATTAAAATGGCTTACCTATACAACTGGTGGAAATTAAAACGACTGCTATCCTAATTAGCTAGGGCACAAAAACCAGGTACTCTAGTCACATGTGGCTGGAGTAACTATTATTAGCACAATCCTTTTGGAGAGAAGTAACTTGTTTATTTCAATTATTTTCATATTTTTGCTTTTTCCTTTTCTAACTTGAATGCTTTTGTCTTATTTTTTATAATTTTCATACAGTAGATTAAATTCTGAAAAGAATTTTTTTATGGAATATATCTACTCATATATTAGTTAAAAAAGCTGTTAAGACATTGTGTCCCCAATAAGTGAGTATACTAGTTTCACCAAATCTCACTAGTATTTACTACTACATTTTTTCTCCCACTAATAGAATAAAATAGCACCTCATTTTAATCTGTACTTTTAAGTGAAGGGAAATGTTTCTCCCTGGTTAACTTACAGAAGTTGTATTTTTAAAAAAATTCTTTGGTCAACTAATTCATTTGAATCTTAAAATTACTATCCCCTTAGTAATTCCCAAGAATTCCTTGTGTAATATAGAAATTAACTCTTGGCTTGCCTCTCTTTGGGGACTCTCTCTTCACACCACATGCTTCTCAGGGCTCCCACCTACTCTAATGGCTTTGACCACTGTCTTTATGCTAGAGGACCCCTCAATCCTCAAGCTCTACAGAAAATCTGCTCTTTTCCCCCCTCCCCAAACAGCTTGGAACAGTGTTCTGTACACTGAGTGCTAAATATTAAAATACAGACATAAAAGGACCATTTTTAAAGATTACATTGTTTTTAGGACTGTTTTAAAGGTTAGATATGAATAATTAGAAAATATAGTCTCAATGCATGGAACAGGCAAATGCATAAAAAATACTAGGTTAACAGCGTGAGTGCTTGAATAAATGAGTACAAAAATGAATTTTAAATACACTTTATTTACAAGTCTCTAAATGCAATGTTCCATAAAAAATATCTACATGTTTCTATTTACATATTCCTTATTAAGTCTATATGATTTGAATTAGATTTTAAATTCAATTTTGGAAAGCTTCCAGGATTTCTGAAAGTGAGCATTTAAAAATACTATATACATAGGGGCGCCTGGGTGGCTCAGTCAGTTAAGCATCCAGCTCTTGATTTTGGCTCAGGTTATAGCTTCAGGATCATGAAATCAAGCCCCACATCAGATTCCGTGCTGGGTGTGGAGTCTGCTTAAGATTCTCTCGCTCTCCCTCTGCCCCTCATCCCCCCACTCATGCTCTCATGCTCTATTAAATATATATATATATTATATATACATATATATAATACACACACACACACACACACAACTATATAGATAGAGTTCCAAAAACAAATACCAAGCTGAGACACAGAAAAGAAAAAAAATCTATTCTAGGTCTTGGAAGTGATTAGAAAGGACCCTGGGGTATCTCACCTACTATCATAAGAAGCAGGGTTCTTAAGAGTTTTCACTGTTAACTAACAGCCCACCTAGATGGAAAATTTCAAATGTGACAATGGTTTGTTTTTTCAAAGCCTTTGCAGTTTTCAGACCAAATGTAACAGTGCTGAAGAGGCTCTTGGCAATTTATGTAAACCCAGATACTCTTACTTGGTTAATAGCGACAAAGATACAATTTTTCAAAGAATGATCCTTTTGTGAAATCAAAGCAGAAAACCTGTTTGGGAAAAGCCAATCCTTCAAAGCTGTAACATCTTCGTTGCCCTTAGGAAAACTCTTTGGAATCTGCCGTCAGTCTATATAACCAATCAAGGATTCCTTACCACCTTCGTCCACAAGCAGATCCACTAACACATGCGGCTTGTCGTAACCAAAGGAGGTGGTAGTGTTTCTCAGCACTACGCACTCCTGTCCTTCGGTCTTTAGTTCAGTTTTATTATTTGGGGAAAATTCTGAGTCAGATAAGAAGCTGTCGGATTCCACAACGCCACTATCAGAACCATTTCTGGAGTGATAGGAGTTTAAGGTGACGACACAGGGTTCAGACTGGTTACTATTTGGATGGACAGAATTCTCTCTCATTCCTGGGGTCAGAGGGCTACCAGGAGCCATGTCAGAAGTATTTTCTTCAGCGGTCACCACTTCTATTTCACTGGAAACATCTTCTCGGTGTTCCGTTTTTTCTAGGTTGTCTTCAGTGGGCGTACCAAGTGTTGCTGGAGACAAGTGCTCTTCCCAGATCATCTTCTCATTTTCTGGGGCAATTGGCTGGTAGGTGATGGGTGATACACATTTTGATTCAGATTTTGTCTCTGAAGAGGCATTTTTTACCACAGACAGCTAAGGGAAGAGAAACCAATGATTAAAAATAATAAATTATTAAACTCAAGTGCACATCCTTAAGAAGACATGGTCTAAGGGTAATGGACAATGAAATATACCACTAAATGGCAGATTTATGGTAACAGTATAATAGCATCTGGTGGTTGCCTTGCCTTGCTTTTTAATGAAAATATACTATATTAAGTGCAAGTGTTTTTAGGATTTTTAAAAAGTCATCCACCATCTAATTAGGACGTGTTGCTTTTTCTCCATTACCTCCACATCTATGCACGTTACATTTGTAATGGGAGTACACCTACTTATATAATATTTTCACCTTTTGCCTTCATAATTATAATTTTAATTATAATTTTCACTGCCTCGTATAATTTCTTTATACTGATGATTAAAGTAATTTCTCTAACAGTGCATTTTGAAGTCTTTCAAATTTTTACTATTTATAGAACATGTTGAAGTGATTATCTTTATTTATGAAGATTTTTTTAAAGAATAAATTCTTAAAAGTAGAATTACTCAGTCACAGGCTGTGGCATTATTTATGGCACTACTAAACTCTATACCCATTAAATGCTTACCTTCCCACCATGGCTGCATTACTTTTACCAGTATACACCAGTTTTACTACTACTGGTACTACTGGATATTCAGGTTTATTTTTCCTTCTCTAGTGGGTATAAAGTTGCATACTGTAAGGTTGCTTTGTGCTTGCTTACTTATCCTTAATTAGTAAGGACAAATACTATATTTCATACATGAATTATCCTTAATTAGTAAGGACAAATACTATATTTCATACATGAATTATCCTTAATTAGTAAGGACAAATACTATACTTCATACATCAATTATCTACTACTGATAGTTTTTATTCACTTCACTTAAGGTAGTGTTTTCAAAACAAATTGAAATGTGTCCTTTGCATGTTACAGATATTATTCCTATCCTATTTCATTCAAACAATTACCATCCTGTTAGCTGTATATGTTCTTTTCATCATACAAAGGCTTTTAAATGTTGACATTAAAAGGTCCAACTTCTGGGGCGCCTGCATGACTCAGTCAGTTAAGCATCCGATTCTTGATTTTGGCTCAGGTCATGATCTTGGGGTCCTGGGATTAAGCCCAGCATCAGGTCCCGCGCTCAGCGGGGAATCTGCTTGAGGATTTCTCTCCCTCTCCCTCTGCTCCTCCCCCTGCTTATGCTGTCTCTCTCTCTCTCTCAAATAAATAAATCTTCTTTAAAAAATGCCAAATTTCTGGTCTCACTTGTGGCCATCTTTCCTTCTACACTCCAACCATAATAGTGTTTCTGTATTTTAGGATTTTCAAAAGCCAGGCTTTCTTGATGCTGGGCTTTGGCACATACTGTCCCTTAGTACCTGGATAAACTCCTGTCTGCCCTCTAGACGCTCAAACATCACTGTGGAAAGGCCACAACGACGCCCCATCCCCCAAAGGTAGACAAAGTCCTCACTGGCATGGATGTAAACCTCTATGTTTGAACATCGTATACCCACTGAATACTTATCTTCTTCTCCCACTAAACTTTAAGATCCTTAACAGACTTATCCAATTATGCTCTTGTTCCGTGCATAAAAAAGTACATGATGTGTGGTAAAAATTGTGTGGTTTTGGATGTGTGGCAGATTGAGTGATTTATGATAGGTGACATGCTGCTGAACATCATTCTACTTAAAAAAAATTTTAAGAAAATTATCGAAAAGGTCCAAATAAACACTTTAGTGTATATAATTAAAGAAAAATATTTAAATATGTTACCAAGGACTTGGGTAACATGATGCTCTCCCTCTTACACGGATTCATCTTCTTAGTGTAACAATATACAAATACCAGGATAAGTACTAGAAAAAGTGGGAGAACGGCAACAATTGGAATCCAAACAGAATCTAAAAAAAAGGGAAAAATCACAAGTTAGAATTAGGATGGAAATACTGCTATATCCATGAAATAGTATGAAGTCTTTACTAGATTTGCTCACTGGGTAATTAATATGATCAGGGTTGCAAAGAACACTTGCCACAGAAGTTGGGCAAGATGAAAAAAGCTTAGGTACACCTGTCCTAGATACTAAAAGGGCTCTTCCCAGCTCTGCAATTCTCTACCTTCTGCACCTATCCCTCCATGATACAAAGTGGCTAACACAGACTTTCACAACCATTTCCTTAAAACCCCCAACATAGGGTGCTTCCAGAGTTGCACTTTTCTCTCCGTTAAAAAGGCAAAAGAAAATTTTAAAAAATCCACCCCTTCAGAAATAAATTCTGACAATGACTATAACTCTAAAATAATTTAATCCCACTCCTCAGAATTTCGTTCCATTTTATATTTATTTGAAGATCACAAATACTTGTAAAGATACACAGACACACACACAGCACACACGGACAGGAAAAGCCGCACCGGGATTAGGGGCCCTTAAACACAAGCCAGAGGTTATAACTTAGAATAAGAAAGATCTGCTACAGAGCACATACATCTATAATCACTATTGTGTATTTTGCTCTAATGCTGCTTTTTATTTTCAAAGCACAATCTTCAGTATTCTATTTTCACTACTCTACGTATCATGGTGGTGTTTGGCCTCTTTACTGGCATTTTATTACCTTTAATTTCTATTCCAAAGTTACTTTTTTGGAATAGTCACTCTGGAAATGACGACTAAATGAACACGTGTATAACACCTATTACAGGATGTGGAAAAAATGAAGTTATTACAACAGGAAAGATAAAAGCACTCCCTAACTGAAGCCAGCACTGCATTTAGAAGCAGGGCACAGGCGGGCAGGGAATACTGCTTCTGGGCCACAGTGCTGCCACCACGTGGCCACAGTACCTGCCCAGTTTATAATTCAGACTTTAAAAAAAATAAATAAATCTGAGGCATTTGCATTATTTCACATTTTGTGTATTAATTAGAATTTTAGTTTTTCAAAATAACACAATGCAAGTTGGCATAATGGGATATTGGCATAATAATGGCATAAAAATGGCATAATAATACACTGCATTATTTTAAGTCACATACTATTTGAAACCCTTGTTATAATAGCCTAAAAGTTATTAAGTTTCAGGCATTTTGCTCTAATTCTTCAGCCTAGATTCCCGTTCTTCAACAGGATATTTGTAGGGACGCCTGGATGGCTCAGTCGGTTAAGCCTCTACCTGTGGCTCAGGTCATGATCCCAGCGCCCTGGGACGGAGCCCTGCATCGGGCTCCCTGCTCAGTGGGGGAGCCTGCTTCTCCCCCTGCCTGCCGCTCCCCCCGGCTTGTGCTCTCTCTCTGACAAACAAATAAAATCTTTAAAAACAACAACAACAGGGCGCCTAGGTGGCTTAGCTGGTTAAGCGACTGCCTTTGGCTCAGGTCATGATCCTGGAGTCCCGGGATCGAGTCCCACATCGGGCTCCCTACTGAGCAGGGAGTCTGCTTCTCCCTCTGACCCTCTTCCCTCTCGTGCTCTCTATCTCTCATTCTCTCCCTCTCAAATAAGTAAATAAAATATTAAACAACAACAACAACAAAACAAAAAAGGGAGATGTTTGTATCATAAAATTTGGGGGGGTGCCTGGGTGGTCCAGTCGGCTACGTGTCCGACTCTTGCTTTCAGCTCAGGTTGTGACCTCAGGGTTGTGAGACAGAGCCTCACTTCAGGCTCCATGCTCAGCGTGGAGTCTGCTTGAGATTCTCTCTCCCTCTGCCCCTCCCATCTGTGCTCTCTTCTCTCTAAAATAAATAAATAAATCTTTAAAATAAATAAAAAATATATTCTAAAAACAGCCTCATAATTGGAAAAAATATATATACACAGTTACCAAAGCATGTTATCATAGAGAAAGTCATAAATAATCTGGAAGTCCCAAATTGGGGAATATTAAACAGAATATAAATTCTACATGATGAAACAGTCTACAGAGATTAAAAAATAATATTAATAAAGTATATGAATTAAAATGGAAAAATATTTATAATATATTTATAATACATCTTAAAGCAGTACATAAAATGTTATGTACTATACAACATGATCATGGCTATACAGAATAGGATGAGAAAAAAAAAACCCAAACTGTAACTAAGTATTTGGATGACAGAACTACAGATAATTTTGATTTCTTCTGGCTTTTTGTATTTTATAAATTATCTATAATGAACATTTAAATTTTGTAAGTGCAGAGAACAGGCCAAATTTTTGTTAAGGTACCTGCCACTTGAGAATATCAGTTCTAAAGTTCTATCATATGTACCCCCCCTACACACACAAAGAAAAGAAAATGAAACAAAATTATTTTTAAGTGTTATAAAAATGACCCATAACCTATCAACATTTATTTTTGGATACTAATTTTTAGTGTTTGTCCAGTTCATGTCACACATGCCAATGAATATTTCTGCTACTCAATTTTTAAACTTACCATCCCCATAGAGAACATTCTAATGGATACATAACATCTTACTATATGGAAATAATAAACTGCTTTACATCACTACGTGTAATCCTGAAATGCAGACATTTAGGCATAGCGTGTTAGGCGTTATGTTTCTTTTCTTCCCTGGGTCAAAAGGTCATCACACAGCTTTCCAAATCGGTTGTTTTAGACTCTTAATACCTGAGAGATGGACTTATTTTTACTCTTGGACTTCTCTGAGAAATGGAACCACTGAATATTTTTAAAAGAACAGGGATTTACTGAAACTGCCTCTTCTTTTTTTTTTTTTTTTTAAGATTTTATTTATTTGAGAGAGAGAATGAGAGAGAGCACGAGAGGGAAGAGGGTCAGAGGGAGGAGCAGGCTCCCCGCCGAGCAGGGAGCCCGATGCGGGACTCGATCCCGGGACTCCAGGAGCATGACCCGAGCCGAAGGCAGTCGCTTAACCAACTGAGCCACCCAGGTGCCCCCTGCCTCTTTTCAATGACCCTATTTCAGTTACCCCTCCCTGTATTCAGGACAAAACAGCAGAAACTTGCCTTCCATGCGGTTATCATCAGACGTGGTGATACAAAGTTCTTTGGACACCTCAGTTTTAACAAGCCAATCTTTGGACTCGCCTTCTGCTGAAACACAGTAGTCAGAATTCAGGGAGGACACGGGGACCACGAGACGGCACTGAGTCTCACTGCAATCATTTTCCTCCTCTACTTTCATTTTATACGTGGTCTGTATGGGGAAAACAACAACAACACTGAGAATGCGTTTTAGCCTTCGTCCAACCAGCCAAAGGACGTTCGTCTCTTACGCCACAGAGCCCAGGAACACACGGAGGTGGGACAGTAGCCAGACCTCCAGCAACGCGCCCAGGGCAGAGAGGAATGTGAGCCACCAGTCCTGCAAAGGGACTCTTCTACGGAACCAGGAATGATGGAACCACAGAGGTGCACAAACAGTGGCTGGTGTGAGAAGAGAACTCAAAGTGGAGATGAAATGCCAGCTGAATACTGAAGAATAAGCAGAAAGTTGTCCAAGTGGAGAAGGTGGAGAGGGCGTTCTGGGAAACAGCACGGCACCTGCAGGGAACGAAGAACTAAAAGCAGTTCACCGCTGCACAAATAAAACTTAGGTTGGAAAAAACAGGGAGACAGGAAGCTGGAAAGGACTCAAGCGGCCAAATCACGAAGGCCTGGGAGGCCACGCCATGAAAGGGGATTTAGATACTATTTTGTAGCTCATAGGGATTTGTGAAGGGATTTTAAGGAGTGAAGGAAGGTTAGATGTGCACTTCAGAAGGACGACTCCACTAAGCATCCAGAGTGATGTTTTAAAATCCAAGTCAGATGCTACTCTTCCTGCTAAAAGCATTCCAGAGACGTAACGCCTTCATCAGAATAACATCAAATCTCTCCTGTGCCCCAAGTGATGTGGCCCCCCATGACCCCTGACCTCATCTGCGCCTGCACTCCGCCCAGTGTGCTTCTGCCAGATTCTTTGTCTGAAACACTCTCCCCATCCAGATCCATGAAGGTCACCTCCTGCCCTCCTCCACACCTGGTCCAGTAACACCTTCCCTGCTCCAACCACCCTACTGATCACTACTGCCCGCAACCCCGCTGCCCACAGCCCCTCCCTGCTCTGTTTTGCTCCATCCACGAAGCACTGGAGCAGGGTCTGTACTGTTCATTGCTACCTGCTGGTGCCAGGAACACACAGAGCACGCGCCTGACAAATACTATTAAATAAAGCAATGGCGGTGCTGTGGAGAATGGATGGGCTAGAATCATTCCAATCCAAGTGTGGTCTGCACACCAGCGCCCGAATGTAAGTATATCCCCACAGCAGAATCGCTAACTTTCTCTTTCAAAAACAAGGATTCCACTTATAGCTTCCTGTTATTTTACACCACTACCCATGAGGAAGAAAAGATTAAAATGATCTTTGTCTTACCAGTGGAGAAATAGGAATAAACAGGTTTAAAATCCTAAAACAGGGCCATGCTGTTAAATGAGGCCAAGACAAAACTTAAATGTATTCACCTGCCCAGCATTAGTGATTAACTCCAAACCCAACTCCCCTCAACATTTATTTATAGGCAAAATCTATGATCCGTAAGTCCTGCCTGAGTGTTAGCATTGTACTTTCATTACACTACATATAGAGACAACTTATGCTAGCAACAGAAAAACAGAACAAAGGAAATAGAAACACCTACCTTACTTCCATTTATTCTCAAATCCACCGTGTACATGAATATGTGACAATTATTTTCATCATAGATGGGTACTGGCTCTCTTCCACTTATATTAGTTAAAGGGTGAAATATGTCAATGATGATTTGGTTTCCCATCTTTCTGATACCCACTGCAGGTGGTCCAATGTTCCCTGGGGGGGGGGGGGAGACCCAAAAGAAGCAGAATTAGTACTGCCCCTGGAACTTTATAGCATGTTCCAGAAAACTTCCAAAATCAATCCATCAAGGTACTCGCTCGGTTGTTCTAAAGCGGAACCGTGTTTAAACCATTCCACAAAGAGCTAGAAGATACTCTAAATGTCCTTAATAAGAAATATTAAATTAATCTCAAGCAGGAAGTATTTTTATCTAATCTAAACTCCTCTTTAACAACTTCAATTCACTTATCATGCTAAAGGTAAACAGTTAGGTCACGAAACCTGTTAAAAAACCTTGACATAAAAGAAGCTCTCTTAAGTTATTCTTCCTTTTTCTGTGGATCTGCAGATTAAAAAGAAAACCTGTTCTCTAAAAAATGTTTCAGAGGGCGCCTGGGTGGCTCAGTTGGTTAAGCGACTGCCTTCGGCTCAGGTCATGATCCTGGAGTCCCGGGATCGAGTCCCACATTGGGCTCCCTGCTCAGCGGGGAGTCTGCTTCTCCCTCTGACCCTCTTCCCTCTCATGCTGTCTCTCATTCTCTCTCTCTCACATAAATAAATAAAATCTTTAAAAATAAATAAATAAAAAAATAAAAAATAAAAAATGTTTCAGAAAAGGCATCTTAGTTACTTTTGAACACTCACTGAAACTCTTTGTATTGCCAATACCTATGGATGTCTGGCATGAAGGCTCTGAGGAAAGTTTGCCAAATACATTGAATTTTTATGGTGAAAATCAAAACAAGACATTCATTCAAGAAATATTTATTATGTGTCACCGATGCTTGAGACTTTGTTGGTGAGCCATTTACCTATTCTTCACGCATTTATTGTACACTTACTATGTGCCAGTCAGGCCTATGTTTATTTGCTAATTTACCCTCAGGGCCTGGTATACTTTCTAGCACACAGTATGCCCTTGATAAATCTGTATGGGAAAAATCTGATGCACAGATGGTATAGTTAACAGATGACAGGCATGGACTCTGGGACATAAAATTATTTCAAGGCAAGTCGAGGAAGGGCCTGTAAGTAGGCACAATCTGAAACACAGGAGCAGAAGCAAGGCCGTGGTGGACGAAACCAAGCGTGGAGGCTGAACAAGGAAGGAAGTGAAGGTGGAGGGCAAGGCACAAGGCTGAGAACACAAGGGAGGAGTCAAGTGACTAATCGCCTCTTTACCCACGAGTGAGGGTGTGAGAGCTACAGGGTAGGATTTCAGTCAGAGAAGGGGAATTGGCAATGAAGATTTTGGAGCCTGAGGTGATAACTAAGATCAGGTATACTGCAGGAATGCGCTGCTGGCAGGAGAAAGGGCTAAAAAAAAAAAATCACTGGGGTTGGGGAGATTCTAGAAATCTAAAATTAGTTAACGTATTAAGTTGGTATATAAAATTCCCAGAGGCCTTGGGGACGATGCACAGGGTGGAAGAGGGAGAGCTGTCCTCCGTGAGTGTAACTCAGCAGGGAGTGCTGTGAGGAGAGCGGGGAGAAGGCCCCCCACAGCCCACCTGGGCGGCACTGATCCATGCTTGCGGGCAGTGGAATTGTGATGGTTTAGAAGCAGCAAAGTGATGGGTATCTCTTAGTCCTATTTTGTGGAGCTTGGGGAAAGAGGAAGAAATGCCTTTGGGCATTGTGATAACTCTTAGCAAGTGCTAATAAAAGCAAATACGTACAGAAGACATGGGTATTTTCAAACTTAACATTTCAAATTTAAAAGTTCTACTCACCTTGTTTACATAAAATAAATTCTTTTGACTCTGCATAGGCTGATTCTTTTTGTCCAAGCCTAGCTTTAATTCTCGCCCAGAGAGAAAGTGATGGATCATTAATTACAGAAAAGATATTACAATAATGATGAGAGGTATTGCAGGCATCAATCCATACTGCTTCCCTAAAACAAAGAGGAATAAAGAAGCACAATGGTAACTTTTACTGTTAATATATAAACTTGAATCATCTCTGTCTCTGCTTTGCTTTTCATTTACAGCATGGAGCTGGTAGAAAGAGCTGAACAAGAATAGGATGGAGAAGCCAGACAAAGCAGGAAGCCCTTACTCTGGTTAGAAGTACTATAAATTCCTTTACAATAAAGAGGCTCAATTCAAAATACAACACCTGAACAAAGTACATTCCACATACAATTTTTAAAAATCTGATCTTTAGATAACTCTAGATTCTATTAACATAAATAATCATTACTTGGCTGCAGAATCTAACGCATTACAAAGACTCCTGACATTTGTCAAAAGTTTTTTTGAAATTTTTATCTTTCTATTCAACAATACATTCACTATGGAAAGTAAGAGGACATCATTATTTTTTTTTAAGATTTTATTTAGTTATGAGAGAGAGAGAGAGAGTGTGTGTGTGTGTGTAGGAACAGTGGAAGAAGGACAAGCAAACTCCATGCTAAGAGTAGAGCCCAACGTGGGGCTGGATGCCAGGACCCCGAGACCACGACCTGAACTGAAATCAAGAGTTGGATGCCCAACCGAGCCATCCAGGCGTTCCGACATCATTACTTTTAATACAGAACTGTAAGTTTTATTTGTCATGCCTTTCAAAAATCTCTAATTCCTGGAGTGCCTGGGTGGCTCAGTCGGTTCAGTGTCCGACTCTTGATTTGGTGGCAGGTCATGATCTCAGGGTCCTGGGACTGAGTCCCACGTTGAGCTCCCTGCTCAGCGTGGAGTCTGTTGGAGGAATCTCTCTCTCTCTCTCCCTGCCCCCCAATAGCATGCACACATGCTCACTCTCTCTCTCTCAAATAAATAAATCTTTTAAAAGGTCTTGAAAGTTAGACTCCTCTACTTCAATTCTGATGGGAAGAAGAACTAAGAGGCAGGAAGTACTCTGAAAATAAATAATTTGCATCCTTAGCACTTCTGGAAGTCTACAAGCAGTTTAAGAAGTTCTGCCACATGGGAAAGAAAGATGATGGGAAATAACCACAAAGTTATGGGAAGTAGAGAGACCTAGACAAAAACAGAATAAAAAAGATGAGAGAGTAACACTTACCCATAGTTCTTTACCTGTACAGTAAAAACAGGGGTCTGTGGCATGGTTGGGTAGTCCCAAAATAGGACAGTATTAAAGTTATAGGCCTCAATTTTAATATTGGTTGGTATCGGCACTGTAAGAGATTCAAAAAGTAAAATGGACAATTGTAAGAAACTCATGTTAATATTAGAAAACTTTATAAGGAGCCTAGTTAGCCAAATATGTACTTTGAAGTAGAATTCACCAGGACAAACAATTATTTAAATTGAGATTTATAAAAATTAATTTTATTCGAAAATGTATAGCATTCTGATCCATTTTAAATTCCTGAAACAATATGGTAGTATGAGAGAAATATAAATATAGTAGAGGCAATCAATCCCTATTATGTTTTAGGAGTTTTTATAAATAAATTTGCTGCCTGTTGTAATAATCATGCTCAATTCATTTAATCACTAGAATTTCCTACATTTGATACCACAGATAGCCTTCAAAGGCTAGCAGAGAACTGGCTACCCCCCCCCCCAGGGATGGTCAATTTCATTCTAAAATACCCCCTAGGCTGGAAGCCCTCTGCCTGCTATCATCACACACCTCAGCACCTTTTCTGTAACACAGGAATAGAAGCCTAAGCCGTCCACCTTGTCAGTTCCATTAACATTTTGCTCTCTGGGGTTTGCAGGGCTTTTTACAAAACATACTCAATATTCTTGCCTTTGCTCTTTTAAACCATTTCAGAAACCATCTACTGAGGGTGCCTGAGTGGCTCAGTTGTTAAGCGTCTGCCTTTGGCTCAGGTCATGATCCCAGGGTCCTGGGATCGAGTCTTGCATCAGGCTCCCTACTCAGTGAGAAGTCTGCTTTTCCCTCTCCCACTCCCCCTGCTTGTTGTTCCTTCTCTCACTGTGTCTCTCTCTGTCAAATAAGTAAATAAATAAAATCTTTAAAAAAAAAGAAAATGTCTACTGAGCTGTGAGTCACACGAGAGTTCCTTGGTTCTCACTTTAACATCTTGTAACTAGTTATTAAAAGCGGCCATTTACTCCCCTGCTCAGGGGCAAAGGCTGCTGTCCACCACCCCTTGGGAAACACTCACACACATACATCTCCATTTCTCCTTTTCTCTCTCTCTCCCTCCTTCTTTCCATCCCTTCCTTCCCTTCCTTATGAATGAACATGAAGATACAGAGTTGGCGATATGGACCCCAACTTCAAGATTATTCAATCCTTCCTAAAATAAATGAATGAATGGCAATGCAGTCAGGTACAGTGGCTTCCAAACATATCATCTTCCTCAAAAACTCTGAGAGAGCCAAAAGTTGTTTTTTGTTTTGTTTTTTTAAGTTCCCCAGCACAGGACACCTGGGTGGCTCAGTTGGTTAGGCATCCGGCTCTTGATTTAGGCTCAGGTCATGATCTTAGGGTCCTGGGATCGAGCCCCGCATCTGGCTCTACGCTCCGCGCTCAGCAGGGAGTCTGCTTGAGATTCTCTTTCTCCCTTTGCACTTGTCCCTAGTGCTCTCTCTCTCTCAAATAAATATTTAAAAAAATATAAAAGTAAAAAATAAAAATAAAAGTTCCCAGCTGATAATGATGATTACTTGGGGTTATATAAACTGGACTGCTCTAATAAGAAAAATATTCCCTGGGTTGAAGATTAGGAAATGTGGGTTCTTTCCTGGTTATACAATTAGTCATTTCAGATTTCCTAATCTGATATGTGAGGTGTTAATTTCATATACATACGGTATTTGCTTACTGTTGAAGGAAACACCTACTATATTTTTTCCCAAAGCAAAAATTCCAATATGCAAACCCAAACTGGTGCATTGCTTTAATTTACAATTATTTAACACTCGTATTACCTTTTTAAGGCAGAACACAGATTCAGAATTATTTAGGGAAAAAATATGACCTTGTGGACAATTAAATTCTACTGCCTTTTCCCTCCCTTCTCTGGTTACTTTTTCCCCTTATATCAGTGGTTTTCAATAGGAAGCGATTTTTGTCTTGCAGGGGACATTTGGCACTGTCTAGAGACATTTTTGGTTCTCACAACTGGGTGATAGTGGTAGGCTGCTGCTGGCATCTCCAGAATAGAGGCCAAGGTTGCTAAGTATTCTAATAAATGCACAGGACAGCTCTCCACTTTTTGGCAGTCCAAAATGCCAATAGCACTAAAGTTGAGGAACCCTGCTTCATATGTTCACAACTTTAGGAATTTTTTATTATTATTTAGGAGGAAAAACTGACTTAAAAACAGATTTTTTTTTTGATAAACCAATATATTTCATAGCGTTCCCACAATGAATAGCTTTGGTTACTGCCCAACTGTCTAACTTCTATAACTACTTACCAAAGCAATGTGACAATTTGTGCCAAAAGGTTGAGATTATGAAGCTGGGAGGATGTCTCACCGATTCAAACATCACATGCTTATAATATGCTCTTTCTGCAGCCAGTGATCAGACACCTACAAGTGTTCTATTTACTGTTCCTGAAATACTGCTGACAGCTGTTGGTACCTAGCATCTTTGGTTCTCTAAGCAATTTCCTTGCAGGTGAGCCAAAACCACTGGTCTTGGCAGACTTAGCCCCGGTTCTTCTCTTTTGGTTTTGGTAGAGTTCCCATGGCCTTACTTAGCAGGGTGTACTGAGGCTTCCTTTTTCTAGGTTTCTTTAGATATGTTTTCATATGTTTGCACCTCAACTTCATGAAACGACCTACTCTCAAACAGCTTATAGTCTGTGAGGAGGAAATACAAGGCACCACCCTTATCCCCCAGGTTCAAGTCAACATCAATATCAAATAACATTCACATAGGGGCACCTGGGTGGCTCAGTCAGTTAAGCATCTGACCTTCGGCTCAGGTCATGAGCCCAAGGTCCTGGGATCAATCCCTATGGTCCCCTGCCCCATCCCCTGCTCATGCTTGCTTGCGTGTGCATGCTCTCTCTCTCAAATAAATAAAATCTTTATTAAAAAATAATAATATTCACACAGATAAACATTATTTTCAACCAGATGAGAGGAACCTGATGCTAAGAAAACTCACAATGAGTGTGAACTTCTCTCAAAAGCCATCCCTTAACTTTAGCATCTTTTGCCTCTCCAGAGGCTGATAATTTTCAAAACTTCTGGTCCTGGTTCCTTTTTGCTTAACAGTCCTTCTCTTGGTTACTCTTTCTAGTCTTGAATTTTAACTACAAGAAGCAAGAAGAAACCACGTGGCACCTTTGGCACTGCTTGGCAACCTCCCTGGCTAGGTCTAGAAGCTCACCAGGCACATTTCCTACTCTTCCTGTTACCAAAGGCAACAGTGTTGCTAAACTTACTGCCTCTGGTAACAAGGACCTGCCTGCTTCCAGTTTCCAGTAATGAGGACTTCTTCACTGCCTTTTAAGTCTCTTTAAAAAAAAAAAAATTATTCCCAATAGTAATGACTTTTTAATTGTATAGACTTGGGCTGAGATTCCTGTATTTGAGGGAAAGGCATATAGAATATTGAATAAAGTGCATTTACATTTAAGAAGAGGTTACTGAATCATAGTTATAAAACCACAAAGTAGACTTGCACATTAGTTTTTAATGTGAATCAAATGATGCTTCCCATAATTTAAGTTAAAGCTTGACTTGGTTAGATTAGAACTGGGGCTTAAATCACAGCTTTCAAAGCAATCAAGACAGGTCGTGGGAGGAAGGAGGTTTCAATGGATACTAAGAGACTTTACCATTCTATTAAAGGAGAAACTTTGAATATAGACACCAAAGGATGTAGCCTGTGGTTTTAATACTACCAGAAGAGAAACCATGTGGTTATTACACATCTGCCTTTGTCACTTTCTGCAAAACTCGCATGATAAATAGGAGTAGTTTTCTACTGTTTCATAATTTTGTGACCTAACGTTTAAATTGTTTTATATTCAAATTAAAATAATTAAGGCTTACAGCAAACTTCCATCCAAAATAAATTTACCCACGTCAATAAAAATATGTGTAGAATAGCAAGAAAAGATTATCTGTGGAGTTTAAAGAAAGATCCTACTAGAGTATCTCATCAAATAAAATAATCTTACAGATCTCTCCATCTCTTGAAAATGATACAGATGGTTTTCTGTAACTCATGTTGTTTTGGAGAGGAGTTCCGTTATTTGGTGCATGCTACCTAGAACAAACATTCACTGTTTTCAAATCTGCTTCTCAGAATGTCTCTAGAACAGCTGAGGCCTTAACAAAACCAAACACAGTAAAGAACAATCAGTTTTTTCTAACACTCTACAGTGCGGGGGGGGGGGGGGGGAAGGTGAGTTCTGGTTACAACCAACTGTTTCCTCTTGATAAACTGGGAGAGACAGGATATGAAAAAAGAGCAAGGAAGACGACAGAAAAACTGATGAAGATCAGTATGTGAGGTGAGGAAGCAGTGCCACAAGACAGGGCAATGGGGATGTCACGTAAGACCAGAAAACCTCAACCAGAAAGAACAGCTCTGTTGTAACTGCTGGTCAAGCAAGGAACTACAGACATCTCCAGATTTCCTCTGCACGGATGACGATCGGAGTACGGGCTGCCGCGCGTCCTCCATCCCATAACCACCAAGGGCATCTGTGCCTCTACTACAAAAGGGACAGCCACAGAAGTTCTTCCCCAATTTTAACATAATCGCCTACAAATACTGTATAAAAGATAGGTACATCTACCAAAGAGCAGAGCTCTGGGGTCTGTAGACACCCTCTGACAATCTGCTTACTCACCTCTCTATGGGAAAGGACTAAGGATAAAGTGGCCAGCAATCAAATTGTGTCAGGGCATTCTAAGCCATCTGACACTACAGCTCAAAAAGAAATGCTCCAAATTAAAGCACCCAGACCCTTTTGTGAATGAACAACTCAGAGAAAAGCTCTAACACCTTTCCCCTAGTGAAAGATGCAGGCAGGGCCATGGATATGGTCAAAGGTTTTTTCTTACATTGCAAACTGAGAAATGGCATGAGAAATCCAGAGAGGAAAAGGGGGAAATATCAAACCAAGACTTCTGCAATTTTTTTTCTGAATAGATTTATAGATCACAATCTACACCTCCTGAATGGTTTTATAGTGTTGATAAAATAGTTATTTTCTTAATGCCTTCCAAATTTTTCTCTTAGCAAGCAGCGGTGTCTTCTAGATTTAAGATGAATAAAGACATTTTGAGAATTCTTGCACATGTTTCAAATGTTCATAAAAGTTTTTTCATTAAAACACTGCAATATTTTCGGGCTTTCAATCGTCCATCACTTTGTGAGATGAATACAAAAATCTATTTTCTACTTCTATTATTTTCTTATACCTTTAGAAGAGATTCAGAGCTAAGGGTTCAAATAATAAAATTATCATAAATAATAAAATAATAAATTACTACTTTCCATAAAATTGTTCCTTAGCTGGGTCAAAACTGTTAATATGTCTGCAGTCTTCTCTTCTTCCTGTTTGTCTTCAGGATTTATTCTGATTTTATCACTCACTCTCTTAAGTTGTGGAGCCCAGAATATAACAGACATGAATGAAATATTTTCCTTCCTCTTTTTTTAGAGAGATGGACATATCAAATAGTGGCTTATGCTGAATTTGTAATTATCTAAAATCCCCCCAGATCTTTTACTCAAACCACCAAGTTAGAGCTTATCCAATAAACATCTGCTTAGCCACTTTCTGACCTAAAATGCAGGATTTTTATATGTGTTCCTATTCAGTTTTACCTAGGTGGGTCTGCTTGGCATGCCAATAAATTCTAATTGGACCAGACCCAGCTAGTAGTCCCTGAGAGAAGTCATTTCTCAAGACTAATTCCCATTTGGACTAATTCACTCTAAGTTGAGAAAGAGGAATAGAGTCTTTTTCAGTCTATGAAAAACAGGGGAAAGGTAGAAGAATAAGTTAGTTGCTGAATCTATTTTAAATTTCTCATACTGATTTGGATGAGTTTTTTTTTTTTAAGGTATCACAATCTCTCATATACAACCACAACAATTTAATATTTTAAAATATATTTGTTAAAATAAATAACAATGAACATTATTGAATGGTAATCTCTAATGTGTAGATTAAACATTTACTACAAGACAGGCAATGTGCTCCATTGTTATGTACTGCCTCAATGAACCAACACAAACCATTCTATGAGGGAGGTGATATTATTATACATATCTTTACCAATGAACGAACAAAGGCTTAGAGAAGCTATTTAAAGATTTGGCAGCCTATAAAGGTTTGTTGGTTTTAGTTAAGAAAAGCTAGTTAGGCATCATTTTTGTGATAGTTTAACAAAAATAAGAAAATGACCTCCATATATTAATAGGAATTGGAAATGATTATTTTCTGCTGATTTCACATGCATCTAATTGAAGTAGTTTTGCCTGATTTATTATACTATCACAATTATATGATGACCACTGCAAAATCTGAACAATGCATTAAAGGAAATCATTTCTTTGCAATGGACATGACTGACATGGCTATCGGAAAAGAGACTTTCTCCACTTTTCAGTGGAGAAGGCAACTTAAGAGACCCACGTCTATGTGAGAAAGTACAGCGTGCTCTTGAGTATTACTAATACCCAGAGTGGAAGAGCAAACAGCAAGAAGGTAGACACTGCTTCACTTAAAAATATATATATATACCGCTTTTATAGGTAAAACGGGATGAAAAGCGAAATATCCTATTATTAGACAGCACACATGGGTTTATTTTCCCTATCCATTCACTAAGAAATACTAACAAAAGCCCATCACTGTGGCACGATACATTCCCAACCACTTGGACTTTGGACTTTGCAGGGACTGACTACGTTCTCTTGCCTGCTTCCCTGTTCCTACCAGGTTCCCTCATCTAAGATGAACTATCAAGCATACAATAAAACCCAACACTGTAAGAATTAACACACTGAGGGCCTATTAAATGTCAGGCACTAGTGAGACAAGGAAGCTAGCTAGCCAAGAGCCAGAAGTAGGTTGTCCTTGAGGGTTTTCCTCCTACTCTCTGCAGACTTTCTATTTTAAACTAACTTTAAAAGCATTGGGAACACAACACAAGCTAGAGAAATACACTGAAAAGTCTAGACAAATGTATTGAAAATGCATTGAAAAAAGGGAGGGGGTCACTGGCACTTGTGTTTACAAAATGCTGGAGTACAAAAGGCCATAGGAGATGTTCCCATGGGAGCAGACAGGCAATTCTCCCAGAGCTGGCTTCTGGGATGTGCAAATTGTGTAATCACAAGAGGCCCCACATTGTTCTAGGTGTTGGGAATACAAACATGGAAAGTACCGTTTCTGCTTTCAAGGAGCATGATTATGTAGCTAACAGTTACTAAGTGCTAGGCACCGCTGTTAACTTATCACATCTCATTTTCACATTTCATAACCAGTCTCTCCATTAATGGATGAGAAATCGAGGCACAAAGAGGTCTGCCCAGTTTGTACAGAGGTCGCTGCTACTCAGGAGGGAGCCGGAAGTTGGGCTCCAGAGTCCACGTTCTTAACCATTCTGCAGACTGCCATTACCTAGAGCAAGTTAGTCGTCTATAAGGGCAATTGCAGTACATTGTGGTAAGAGCCTGGACTTTTGCACAGGCTACTGGAAATTAAGCTAGGGGTACCTGGCTTAGGAGGACCCTGTCTGTACTCAGAAAGGGCATGGCACATGGTTTAATGCTCTACCTAAACCAGGAATCCGAGCCATTCTCTTCCCACACCCAATCACCAACTCCCGCTGACTCTGCCTTTTAAATGTTCTTCAAACCGTCCTCTCTTCTGCATTTGAACTGCCATTTTCACTGACTCATCCCAACTTAAGCAGTTAACTTAACTGGCCTCCTTCCTTCGAGTCTACCCCCAAACTATTGTGTAAGATGAACGGTCTTTCTAAATGGCCTAACCAATCCTACGTAAAATCATTTCTCCTCTTCAAATAATCCATTGACCACCCACCAACCAGAGCAAGGTATAGTGAACATACTTACTTTGTTGGCCTAGCACCTGTACTTCCTTCAGGAATATTTCTCTTCTGGAAACTCCCCTACCGCCACCTCCTGCAACATGGTCCTTCCCCGGCAATCTGGTGCCTGACCCAAGCATGCCAATCAGAGCCTTCTCCTGGGATTTTGTTAGGATGGTGGAAGCTACAAGATGCAAAGCCCAAAAGCTGTCCACATCCATGATTCCTGCCAAGTAGGAAAAGCTGTCTACACCCAGAGTCAGTAATAAGAAACAGTCTTTGCACTTCTGAGTGACTGGTTCAGCTTTCTGAGGCCCAGGTGGTATCTCTACCTTTCTAACTCTTGCTTGGATTCTCTAAGCCAATAAATCCCCCAATTTGCCTATCTTGGCTAATGTTACGTCGCCATCCTTTGTTGTTTGTTACACATGACAAGGCACTTCATTTACTGGGTTCCTACCTCTCTACCTATCTTATCTCCCCTTGTAACCTCACACACATATTCTACAATGAAACCCTTAGTATTCCACTAATTCAACATGCTGTTTCACACCTCTCCCTCTGCTCACACAAGTCTCTCTGTACCTCCAGCTCCAACTCTGGGGTTATTAACTTTCTCTGTGAAGTCCTTCCTGATTCTCCTGGTCATACCCAGGTACCTCTATCTTGCTTTTCCAGTAGCCTGTGCGAAAGTCCAGGCTCTTATCACAATATACTGCAATTGCCCTTGTAGATGACTAATTCGCTCTAGGTAATGGCAGCCTGCAGAGTGGTTAACTTGGACTCTGGAGCCCAACTGCAGGCTCCCTTACTGAGCAGCAGTGACCGCTCTACGAACAGGGCAGACCTTGTGCCTCGATTTCTCATCCATTAATGGAGATACCGGTTGTTGTGAAAAATGAGATGTGATAAGTTAACAGCGGTACCTAGGGCTTAGTAACTGTTAGCTATATAATCGTGATCCTTGAAAGCAGAAACTGAATAACTCCCATTTTTGTATTCTCAACATCTGGAACAATGTCCCAAGGAAAGACTAAGTATTTGTCTGCTTGCCTCTTAAAGAGCAAGCCAAAGGACAGGTGGATATCAATGGAGCGCACAGACGAAGTCATAATATAGAGGTTCGGACCCAGATTTTGCCAAGGATGCAGAAGGCGGGGCCTCCCCGACCCCTTCCAGGCAACTGCTAACTGTGGATACTGAGCAGACACTCAAGAGTGAGGGGTTTCTGATGCTTTAGATTTAACCCTCTTGCAGAAGAGATTCACTGATCTCACGGGAGCTCCTAATCACCATGACAACCGAGCTCTGGAAACCGTATTCCCTGCATTTATTTCCGGGGAAATCTCAGTGAGCCGGCAGAACAAACAAGCTCCGAGGAACTAAGCTAAGAGATGTACAGCCTGACAAATCTGCTCCCAAGTTCACGCCGCACGGCTGCCAGACTTAAACGTAAAATGACCAATCCCTGCCACTTAAGGATTCTCATAATGGGGGGAGAACAACTTCTCTCTTAAGGATTTTGGGTTTACCCTAAAAATATTTAACTCACGAGCGCTGGCCACACTGTCCAAATGCTGACCGAGAAACTCACCTAGTCAAAAATGAATTAAAAGAACTGGAAGACCGAGAGGCTGTTTTGCCGTTTCGGCAACAACGGAAGAGCCGAGAGAAAGGGCACTGAAGTCCGCTGACCGCGGACGCCCGGAGTGGCCTTCCCCGCGGCCGCCCACGCAGACGTCCCAGGGCCAACGAGGACGCGACCCCGCGGGGCCGTGCTTCCAGACCCGGGCGACTCCCTCCCCAGTCCCATCCCCCCCTGGCCGCCGCCCCCCCGCCCCACGAGCGACGTACCCGAAGACAGCTCCAGATCCGCGAGGCTCATCTCAGCCCAGCTCCCGGCCTGCAAGACGAGCAGGAGCAAAAGTTGCAGAGCCATGCTGCCCGGGGTTGACTCAGGGTGCGGCCCTGAGAGAATGCGGGCGTCCAGCCTGCAGCCGGAGCCTCGCGTCACTTCCGGACCAGCAGACCAGCGCTCCAAGGGGAGGCCGGGCGTGCACGTAGTGGCGGGGCCGGGGCGGGGAGGCGGGGCCATGGCGGGGAGGTGGGGCCAGAGCCGTGAGGCGGGGCCAGGACGGGGAGGCGGGGCCAGAGCCGTTAGGCGTGGTCAGGGCATGATCTCGGAGCTGGCGGCTGGGAACCGGCACGTGAGCCTGGAAGACCGGAATAGGGACTGCCAAACCGGGCGTTGGCTGGGAGGCAAGACTAGCACGGGAAGGCCCGGAGAAGTCGGCTCCAAGGGCTCCTGGAGGCGTTAAGAGCGTGAAAGTCTGTGGTCGTGACAAGGGCTCACAGGTTTGTGAGGAACTTGGGTCCAAAGGTTAGGTTCTTTCGATTTGGCACCACCTTCCGCGATTCTTCTTCCTGTTTTTACAGTGTTCAGGGGTTGCAGAACTTTTCCTGAGGCCGCAACCCAGCCATGATCCTTACTTTAACCCTGTTAGACTTCGCCATCAAGGCGTCTGGAAGCCTGAGAGTTTAGAACAGGAAGAACCCTAAATGCCTTCTCTAATCCCTGCATTTGTATTTGAGGGAACTAAAGCTTCAGTGGTGAAACGGTTTGTGCAGACTTCCACAACCTACATAGAACTGGCTTGGCCAAGAACTACTTCATCCTTGGAGGAAAAGCAACTTGTGTTTTCTTTTAAGCGATTACGTATCACGTAGCGATTTATTAAGCAGCCTCTCATCATGTGATCTGCCCTCTCCTCCCTGACCATATTACTCTGCATTTCTCACATTCCTGTTCAGCCTAATGGCCTCTGCCTTCCTAGAGCACTCCAGGCTTGTGCTCAGATATGTATATGGCCAACTACCTCACCTGCCTCAAGTATCTTCTTACCATGGCTCTGCAGAAATTTGAAATCACAACCCAGCTTCTCTCACCTTACCTTATCCTGCCCTACTAATTTTTCATGGCACTTTCCTTATCTCACACGGTCTGACAACGCGCCTGTCGATGTCTATTTTCTCCTCCTTCTGGAATGTAAGCTCCATCACCCTGAAATCTTTGGCACTTGGTTGGTACTTGTTGAATAAAGGAATGCATGACTGTGCTAGCATTAAGCAAAATTTTAGGGAGAAAAAAGCTAAGATGCTGTACAAACTAGAAAGGAATTATTAACAGGATTGTTTTTTTCTATTAATAAATCTCTTAGCTCAGTACTTCTGAAACTTCAATGAACATATGAACCACTTGAGGATCTTGTTAAAATGCATATTCTAATTCAATTGGTCTGATTCAGTTGGGCCTTGAGACTCTGCGTTTGTAACAATATACAGAGAATGCCAGGGCCATTGGCTCTAAGACCACACTTTGAATAGGGATGCTTTACCTCTATCTAGACCGAGTTTTGGGGAATACCTTGGTATTTATGATGCCCACTGTCTTAGTCTGTTCAGGCTGCTTCAACAAAATACCACAGACTGAGTGGCTTATAAGCAACAGAATTTCATTTCCTGAAGTCTGGAGGCTTGAAGTCAAAGATCAAAGTGCCAGCATTATCAGGTGAGGGCTGCCTTCTGGGGTGGAGACTTCTAGTTCTGCCCTCACATGATGGGAGAGGGAGTGAGCTCTCTGGAGCCTCTTTTATAAGGGCGCTAATCCAATTCGTGAGGTTTCCATCATGACTTAAGCATTTCCCAAAGGCCACATTTCCTAATACCATCCCCTTTGGGAGTAGAATTTCAACATATAAATTTTGGGGGGACACAAACATTCAAACAATAGCACTCACTACATGAAAGGCGCCTAGTCATTGCAAGAATGCCAGGGTGAATAAGAGCTGATCTTTGCTGGAGTAGGACAGAACATAGTATTTAATTCAGTTCAGTAGGGATGCCTGGGTGGCTCAGTCGTTAAGCGTCTGCCTTCGGCTCAGGTCATGATCCCAGGGTCCTGCGATTGAGCCCCGCATCGGGCTCCCTGCTCAACGGGAAGCCTGCTTCTCCCTCTCCCGCTACCCCTGTTTGTGTTCCCTCTCTCGTTGTCTCTCTCTGTCAAATAAATAAATAAAATCTTTAAAAAAATTTAATTCAGTTCAGTAAACATTTCTTAGTAGCCATCACAGGTTGGGTTACCCATAAGGTAGACTCTACAGGGGAGATTAGCATGTAGGACGTGCTGTTGTGTGCTCTTGGGATCAACCTCTGTGAAAGGAGGTGGAAGAAATAGAATTGAGCAGAGAGAGAGACTGATCTGTGATGTCTTCCTAACAAAGGCTTCAGCTGAGCCCTTGGAACTGGAATAGTCTTTTAGAGGTATCATGAGTTGATATGAGGGGCTGGCCCTTCAACTCCCAACATTGATTTGTCATTGGATACAAACCACCCCTGAAAGGGGACATGATTTGGGCTTGTCCATTACTTTAACTGAGGCATTATCCAAAGAATGCTGATAGTTAAGGGTTTTTACCAGCAGTAGTCCCAACAGCAAAGAGGGGATGAGGCTAAGTCTTCTGTTCTTAAAGGGAATTGTGGGCAGAACTTCATAATCAGCATTCACAATAGTACCTGTCCTTCAGAGGCACCTTTCTAGTCACTTGGAGACTAAGGATATTTAGTAATTTACTAAATATTATTGGGTGCCACCACTCTTTATATATAACCCTGTTACACATTGAGATATAGAGCTGAGTAAGAGAGAGATGGCCCCTGCCTTCATAGTGCTTATAGACTATGAGGGATTAAACAAGTTTTAATCAAACTATTACATAAATAAATACTGAAATTGTGGTAATCCTTATCAAGGAGAACAATGGATTTATAGGAGAATAAACAGAAACTTAGTGTAGTCTAAGTTTTAAGGAAATTCTTTCTTAAGGCAGTTATAATTATACCATGACCTGAAGGATAAGAAGGAATTAGTTTGGACAAAACTGAGGGATTGGGGCTCACAAGCTAGTAAGAGAGGTGGGAGGATGATTAATAAATATACTTTAAACTCCAATATATAAATCTTATAGAGCCACACAGAAGGCAAATGAGCAGTGGCAGTTGCCTTGGTAAAAATCTTGTGCCTAAGGGCTGGAGGATATCCAAATACATGGGTGGTCCCTCTATATCCTCTGGTGAGTTTTTAAAACAAAACAAAACAAAAAAACAATGTAGACTAAGAAGTGGATAATTCCAAAGCCAAGTATAAACTGAAGTGCCACTCAGGAGCTAAGGCTGCATTTTGTAGGCCACACTCATAACAGAAAATTAATAGGCCAAATAAAATAACTTAAGATATTAGACTATGATCTAATGAGAACAGAGACTGAGTGTGTAGTACAAACTATGCTCTTTTGGCTCCTGGCTCTGTGTATTTCCTTCTGTTTTTCACTAGAGCAGAAATGTCTGCTCATTTTCCTTTAAAAGCAGCAGATTGAAAAGTTTGTGGCTAAAGCATTTAGTTCTGAATTCTAATTATTCTATAAATTATACCTAATGCTCCCCTACCCCCTCACACTTTACCCATGCCTCTACACTGCCTCTTATGTTTTCACCATAGCACTTATTACCAACTATATGCAGAGATATATGTATCTCTCTCCACAAATATATAAGTACTACAATTGTGCTAATCATTACCAAAGAGAACAATGAGGTTACTGGAGCATAAGTTCTCTCTCTCTTCCACTGGGAAGTAAGCTCCTTATTTTTTTAACTGCCATATCCCCTGTACCTAGATAAGCACCCAGCATTACACTAATATTTATTGAATAGATATATGAATGAACAAAACAAGCTTGTGAATAGATGTGGGATTTTGGCAGACACAGTTAAATTTATGGTTGACTAAGCTATAATTGGGTCACTGACGAGAAATTAGACGTTTGTATATCACACTGGTACCAGAGGACTATTAGTGCTTGCCCTGCACACAAGGAAAGCTGTCGTGCTGACATCTGATCATATCAGATCAACCTCTGACTCCAAGACAGTTATCCATTGACTGCAAAGTCTTTTAGCAGATGGCTTGTCTCGCAGCATGGCCTAACATAGATGCCATGTGCAAGATGTCAACTGTGGCAGACCTTGTTCACTCCCTGACGGCTGATAACCTTTCTTAATATCCTTCTGCCTTGCTGCCTTCCCATGATAGAGGCTGTCAAAGCTCAATACTCACTTTCCCAACCTTCCTGGCAGCTACATGTCATCATATGACACATTTCTGGTAAATAAGACATAAGCAGAAGTCTGTCTGTGTGTGTGTGTGTGTGAGCATGTGACAGATGCCGCAGGAGAACTTGAGAGCCTTGCTCCTCCCCCAATCTTCCTGCCTTCTATGTTAGACACATGATAACAGCAGTCACCTTGCCACCATGAGGCAACATGATCAAAGATAAGAAGCCAACAGCTAAAAATGGAAGACTAGAAAGATAGAAGGCTTGAGGAGTTGATGTAAGCATTGAGCAGCTGAACGGATATCTGCAACCGCCTACCTCTGGACTCTTGTTACAGGAGAAAATTAAAGCGCTATTGCGCTATTGGTTTAAGCTACTGCCAGTTTGGTTTTCTGTTAATTGACCTGAAATTTTTTTCTCACTCTCTGTCAGGCCAACCTGAATCTCTTTTGAGAGAGCTGGAATGTACCCCACAATGGTAGGGAGAATGGCTGGGGGTAAGGAGAAATTAAAAAAAAAAAAAAAAAAGCAACAAACTCAAGGACAGAAAGTCGAACTTGAGACTACTAAGCAAAGACGATCCCTCCTTGAGGGGAGAACAAGAAGCCCTGATCTGAGGGTGGCAGCAGCAGCTAGCACGGCTGTGTCCCCTGAACACTGCCCCCTCACTGTGGCCCCTGAGGACTGGTTCACGGCTCACTGTTTCCTCTTCTGACTTGCCTGCATATCTTCACCACAATCCCTCATCACTAAAGGTAATCTGAGTGTCTCTGTCCCTGTCAACCTAAAAAGCTCACTTAACGTAATTCCCAGCCATGTGTGGCCAGCCTCTTAAAGGACAGCTACCATATT